GGCAAGTGGCCCAGGGAGGAAGAAAAGGTCTGACGAAGAGATCTAGAAAAAGATTTGGAGGAAGACATAGTGGGTCGCAGCAGGTGTAGGCTGTAGTTGTTCAGGTGGGTAGCTGCATCAGCATGCGTAGGCTGCAAAGGAACAAGTAATAGGTTTATTCCATGCTGAAAAAAAGAAGAAAGAAAACACAATGTTTCGGCCGTGGAGCCGGAATGTTAATAACAGTTTATTTATGTGAGTAAAGCAAATTGAAAAGGTGGCATGGTGGGGTAGTAGCTAGGATTGCTGCCTTGCAGTGCTGGATCCCTGGGTTCAATTCCTAGGGCACTATCTGCGTGGAGTTTCCTCTGGGCCCTCCGGTTTCCTTCCATAGTCCAAAGACATTTGTAGGTTAATTGGCTTCTGGGCCCTGATGTAAGAGTATGTTTATCTGCAATGGACGGGCATCTCATCCAGGGCGTATCCTGCCTTGTACCCTTAGCTTGCTGGGTCAGGCTCCTGCTCCCCCACAACCCTGTATTAGATAAAGAACTTATAAAATAGATGGATGGATAAAGCAGATTGAAAGGGAGAGAAAAAGGTGAGGTTCATTTGGCAGTTATGATAGTAAGATGTATTGTCTGTGTTTAGGCGCCGGTTAGGAAGCTATCGTGTTTCCTACGAAATCCTGAGTTAGTAGCCGTGCTACCAGATGGATAAGGCCAAGAATTATAAGGCTTCTTTTTTTTTTAATAGTTTCTTCTGAAGGGTCAAGGGGGCACACCAAATTGCCGCACCATGTACCCAAATACCAAAAACTTCACAAAACAGACAGCAACGTAAAGAGTGTCATTGACGTCAGCTTCACTTTTAAAAAGTCATTGTTAATGCAAAAGTATATGAAAACAAAAATAACAAGTGTTATCACTTCATGAACACTAACATGGAATAAGTGTACTGCAAGCAAGCCTGTTTGTCCTACAGTAGAAGCCACTTTTCCATTGCATATTGCAGCCCTCAGAGCCCTGAGTCCCTAGGACCCAGAGATTATGGGTTCCAATACAGTTTATGCTCTTTTTCTACAGGCACTGGATGCCTGTCAGAGTGAAATACAAACAGAAAGTGCAATTCAGGCCACAGGAAGCTACTGAAACAAAGGGGAAATAGAAACTTCCACATGTTGTGAGAAAATTATCGAGTGGTCCCACTTCTTCACTGATACCTACTAATGGTTGTGGTCACCCTTGGCCACAGGGCAAGTGTTATTCTCCAACATCTGGGTAGTGTGCTTGCACATTATATATGTAATAATAATAATAATAATAATAATAATAATAATAATAATAATAATAATAATAATAATAATAATAATAATCATGTAAAATATCATGTATATTTAACATTTTTAGTTTTATATGTACCTATTTTTTCAAGTTGATTTTTATTTCAGATTTAGAAGTGCTGAATGAGTTGGCCAGTCAATTCCCATTTGTTTCACTGGTTGTGAAAGATAGGTCTACATATTAATCAAGTGACCACATACCTCTGTGCGTTTTCACCTCCATTGGCCAGATTTCATAAAATTTTGCAACAGCTGCAAATGTGTTCTTTCATAGGTATTGTTAACCTTCCGTGCACATTTCCTCCAAAGTTTACACTGCACAGTTCATACATAGGAATGCACTCAAGTGCATTGTGTCCAGGAATAAAGTTCAAAAACAAAAGTTGAAACAGGGAGCTGAAATAATTGGTCATGACTATACAGGTAAGCTTTTACAGATTCTCGTTTTTAAAGAAAGCTGACATCATACTTTTTTTTTAACTGTGAATTCAGATTTTGTTTTCATGTTTTGATGCTTTTGTTGCTTTAAATGGTCATATATTGAGGATAATTTTATGTTATTATATTTTTCACCTTTTTAACACTTCTATTTTTTGCTTTATTTTGGATAGATTTTCGTTGAGTTGCTGTCAGAAAGGCAGGTGTTTTAATAATAATAATAATAATAAGTGCAGAGCAATGGTTAGCACTGCTGCTTCCCAACACTGATGCCTTTGGCTCAATTCTGGACCTGTTCTGCTTGTGCTAAGGTTTGATAGTGATACTGTAGATGTCACAGACTTGCAACAACTGCCTATCTACTACTCTGTACCTCATTGTCAGTCCTTAGTAGTCCTGCACTATTTTAATATAGATTTATATCCAAAAAAAACAAGGATTCTGTGCTTGTCTTCAGGCCTGGATTTTGGTGTTTGTAGGCCCTAGGCACTTTCACTCTGAAATGTACAAAAAAAGGGGTAAATGCCAATTGAATCACGTCGATTGACATGATGCACTTTAAACTATTCTAATGCTAAACCAGGTGATTGATGGAGTGAGTCAAGTGACCATCACTTCGATACTTCTAGTTTCTAGAACAGCCGCTAGGTAGCGGATGTTTTTGATTTGGAGCGCTTAAGAGTCGATCGCGAGCATGTGGTTTCAGCTCGTTTTTCATTAGTCACTAGTGTTTCCCTCCTTCACAGGCCCTAAGCATTTCATAGGCCCTAGGCACTGTGCCTTCAGTGCCTACTGGGAAATCCTGCACTGCCTGTCTTTGTACGCAGATAATGTAAACTTTCTTGTAAATAAGTCCCTAAATAATTGTGTTTAGCACCATCTGCTGGAAAGACTTTGAAATCCCGTGCAGCTGGATCACAACTGCATTCTTCTAAGTCTTCAGCAAAAATATTGCACAGCTTCATTACAGGAACTGTACATTTCAGGCTCAAGTGTGAAGGAAGCTCCAAGTGTGTTTATATTGTTATAATGTTATATATATTATATTGTTGTGCACAAATGTATAGTCCCACATGGATCGGCCCACAGGCAAACTAGGCGACTGCCTAGGGCCCCTCAATGTGCAACAACATATGGTAACGGATTCGGGTTCTTGGGCTTGTGCCTTCACCGCATGGGCGCTAACCCGGGTCTCCGGCATCACTCAAAAGATGTCTTGTCGGCTGAGCTAAAGAAGACCGTCATTATCCCAGGCAGCCAACATCCTTGTTACGCGCAGGGGCGTCTTCCTTACAATATTTGTATTTTGCACCTTCAAATGTGAGTGAGAAATTCCCTGTAGTGGCTCTTTCTGCATCTGCTGTAGCACAGAAAAGGAGAGCGGGATAAACGATCTCAAACCAAAGACGCGTCGAATCAAGTCATTGTAATAATGCACAATATACGTAATAATGCAATTTTTATTTCATTTGGTTTTCTGTCATATCCACGTACTGTAACTAGCAAACGGTAGTCATGTCACATTTTCAAGCTAGAGACGTACTGTAGATTTACTTGAGGTATTTTTACTAGAAGTTAACAGATTCACGTTTTCTGCAATTGTACACATGCCGGCGCTGCCCGGCCAAACAGAAGGGGGAAAGCAAATATACAGTACAAAAAAGATTGTTCATGAATTAAACATAATCTACATTAAACTACGTTGTTTTCCTTGTAGTTCTTCTTGTATTTCATTCAACGGGGGGGTTTGTGAACTCAACCTGTAACCCTTCGGATTACCCTCCCAGTGACAGCGGCAGGATCAGAGAGGAGCTTTTCAGAGCTCAAGTTGATTATAACTTCGGAAATACAGGTAAGCTGATTTATAGAACGTTCTTTCTTTTATAAAACTCACCTCCCTTGTTATTGAGAGCACTTGTTTTGATTTCCTTAACTTTTGAAGTAACCTGTTCATCATTATTTGTTGTTATTTATGTTCCTTTTTGTTACTTTCAATGTTAAAATACATCTTTGTAAAATGTGTGCCTAGTGTTCTTGTTTATATGTTATGTGTTCCTCAAAGCTGGCTAGTAAAGTTTTATGGTTATATCATTCATTTATTTAATTGTTGTAAATGGTAAAATAAGGTTGTGTTGGGAGCTGACAGTAGTATGCACAAATCTTGATCTGGAGGGGCCACTTTTCAAGATCTTGCCTAGGGCCCCCAAAAAGCTACAGTAGGGCCAGGCGTGAGTGGAATCATCAACATCATAGAACGGTTTACTCTTCACATAACATAAACAAATGTTTATGTTTGCCTTAACATAACTTTATTAATAGTGTTTATCATGTTTGCTTGTAATGTTAAAGAGTAAAAGACAATACAGTGTGGACCAGCACACTGATGATTGAACTAGAATAAATGAACTAAACAAAACTCGTTGCATCTCTTTGTGTGGGTTAGGACTTGTTTGCATGAAGTAATTTACAGGACCTCTGAAAACTATATAACTTTAATGAACTTCATCTTTCTCCATATCGTTATTTTCTTTAGCATTAAAATCCAGTGAAAAACTTTCACATCCAGGAGAGAGTGAATATGGTGTATGACAGGTACTGTATGCAGACTTTTCATGTTATATTACTGTAAATACACTTAGTGCTTTCAATTTAGAATTATTGTCTTCTTACTGCCAGCTACCTGTGTTACCTGTGTTGTGTAAAAATGCCAAGAACTGTAACTGGATTTATGAGAATGGCAGTGATTAATTATTAATTATTATGCATTTTTTAAACCTCAAGTGAAAATGTTTTCTTTGCATACAGTATATAGTACAGTATGTGCACCTCTATTGTTGATCTCGATTAAAAACCAATAAATTCACTCCCGGACAGATGTGAAACTGACAATTCCTTTTCAATTGAAACTTTCTATAGATTACGCACAAGAGAGCCCATTTTCAGCTGGAAAGAGGTGGTTTATAGGAAATATTAAAGTAAAAACAGTCAAAAACACTGGACTTCACAAGACCCTACAGAAGACCCTGTGACTAGTTACTGATGAATTATAAAAACTGATCCGTTGAAAGTCACTAACACTGTAGATCAGCAAAGAACTTCACAGGAAAGAACATGCTGAGCTGCAGGGGATCTGGCAGAAGACCAGTTTCAGGAGGTAAATCTCTGCCAGCCCTCAGTTCCTGTGTGTCCCAGATGAGACCCCAGCACATAGACCTTCCATGCAACATTTTCTTTTCTGTAAACAGCGTGGCAAAAAAGGCTGATTAATGCACATTTTCAGTGCTCAGCAGTGTCTCATGAGAAGGCTTTAACCTTGTGAAGATTTTTTTTTCACAATGCCAGAATGTTTTTTCTTTTTCCCATTGTGCTTCTGTACTCTGTGAAAACAGACACTCTGAAAACAGAAAAAAAAACACACCAGGAAACATAAGGCACCAGATTTTTTTTTTCACAAGAATCCAGTCACAGAAGATAAGTAAAATGTATAAAGTAAAAGTGGTGACTGTGTATTAAGCATACAAAATCGGCATATCCCCATTTTTGCCCCCATCATATATTCTCTGTCTGCAATTTGTTCTTAACTTTAAACATTCATCTTGGCTACATACAAGAACAAACCCATACTCTGTATAATTCTGATATTATATTCAATCCAAGGCCAGCTTTGAGAACACTGCAACTGTTTGCATCAATCAATTAAACATTTTCTGAATCCTGGGTTTGAGGAATTCCAGGAAAATGTGTTTACTCAATCCAAGCAAATCAAAATAATTGCACAATTGCTACAGTAACTTCAGTTTTAATATCCTTTTTTAACTCTGGATCCTTTATTAATAAGTGATTGTACAGAACATACAGTGTATCTTTAAAAAGTCTTTACTCACAATTTAAGAAAAAAGTCAATGTCTAGACAAACATAAAACCATCCAAGATGTATACTAATGTTCTGCCAGGACAATATTCCTTTTGTTCCTATAGTTCTTTATTAGTCTCATTATCAGGCTCAAATCTTGTCTTAATTGGTAATCCTGGTGAATCATATGAGAAATAAAAATAGGAATATTAAGCTACTATTAATATAATTCTTTAGTATTAGAGATCAGCACTAGTGTTTTGTTGCAATTTATTTTATATTACAAACTGAGTAATCAATAAAATAATATTTTAGCATTTAAATATATTCTTATAATAATATTTATGTGAACACCAGAATTAATTAGAAGGGCTATGGAAAATCTGTATCATTTGATCTGTGTAGCAAGCAGCAATCTACACTGCCTGGCAGACAGACAAAATGTCTCCTTAAAAGACTCCTTATTCTCCGGTATGGTGTAAACTCATTTAAACCTGTTTTTCGTATGTCTTATATTCAAACTTTCCCCAAAAATGTTGACTAACACCTGCAAAGGAAAAACTACAATAACATGTCCTTTTACTTTATAACATAAAACTCCTTTATTCTTTATAGAGTATTTTTAGCAAATACTGCCTTGGTAAGATTTGACACTTAATGGACTTTTTCAATTACCTTCTGGAAATTTTGAGCAATTATTCAAAATGTAAGAAAGCCAATGGCATTACAGATTTCAAAACATTTATTCTATCTCAACGAATCAACATGGCAACTTTCAGATTAAATCATACATTAAGAACCCTGGTCTCACTAAGTTGACACCAAAAAAATGTGGAAAGTAGCATGCATACATGAAACTTATCAGAAAAATAAAAGGATGGTCAAAGTAGGAGTGAGCATGCTGCCTTGCACTGAAGCAGACATGTCAATGACTTTACAGCTTACATCTTTTTTATATAATGTGTCTTTCACTCCAGAAAACAGAATTATATGTTTCAACTCATAACAAAGGCTTTGAAACCAATCCCTGCAAAGAAAAAAAAATATATAGATGTTTGACTATGATTGGAATATAACATTGAGGGTAAACTGTTTAATTTACATTTTGACTTTTTTCATTTCTTTTATCACTTTAGTAAATTATACTTTAACCTCACTTAAAAAAATGAGGATAAAACAGAACCAAAATGAACTAAGTAAATTGTATGTGTATTTATTTAAGCACTGAATTGGAACATGGGTTCCATTTTGCTAGTGTTACTCATTAAATTCATAATTTCATTTGTTTCTTTAAAAGGGATATAACATTTAGATGTACTGTAAGCATTTGGATTGACTGCAGTAAAAAAGGCTGTCCTGATTTCCATGGAACCCTTTGGAAGTAAGAGGCAGCTGGGTTCATTTTGGCAAGGAAAGATTTGGACTCTGAGCCCTGAACTTAAACATGTAGGCCAAGGCACACAATTTGATAAGAGGACTTGTTGCTACTACAGTATTGCACCATGCTTGTACCTGATAAAAATCCCAAATGAACAAAACCCCATTCTTGGAAAAAAGTAGTTGCTGCTTATACACATTTTTTTAAAAGATGTACAGCTTGTACTTCAGCCCCAGAAAATGTAGAAAAAACATTTTCTTTACTTGAAAATGTCCAATACAAGTGAAAACAATTCCTTCAGTTTTTCAATAAATGCTTCTTTGTACTGAATAGGTGAGGAGAAGGTAACAGTCAGCTGTCTTGAACTTGAGTACATCTACAGCCATGTCTGACAATGACACATCTTCCCCTGTGGTGCACTTCAAAGCTGTTGTTCCGCTGGATTTCAGTGGTGAAGGTACTGAATGTTATTCACAGTTGGCTGGACATTTTCAAGTGTGCTGTGAGACTTCAGGTATGGATAAAACACAACTCAGCACCTGGACACCTTATGTAAGGGGATTCACTGAGAATCCAGAAGTAATCACTTTCCTGAACACAGGCGCTGGTTTGTCATGACTGAAAACTTACAACAGCACATTCCAGCATATCCCAGCCTCAGTCACATGTCCTACTGAAATTGGAGCAAAACCACATGGGCTCCAGGGAATTCTGGGAACTGGAAAGCCATTCATCTTCCACATCAACAGATACCTCACATGATACCACAGGCTTGGTCCTCACACAAGAACAACCGGTACTGAAAAAGTCATAGCTTATGCCAGTCATGTCCTCACTGTCACAGATAGCAACTGGTCCACCTTTGACCAAGAATGGTGGGCAATAGTATGGTCGGTCAGACTTTTCTCATATTATTTAATGGGTAGTGCTTTTGTTATTGTTACTGACTACCGTCCTTTATTGTGCTCGAAGAAATTGCCTATTGAGCATGACCAGACAGGACAGAGAACACGCTGGGCTTTAGAGCTTGATGTGTATGATTGGGTCATCAAACACAGAGATGGTAGGAGGCATGGAAGTGCTGATGCTCTGTCGAAATGTTAACCTGACAGTCTCACCGTCGTTAGTATTGACTGTAATGAGCAAACTATAACTAACTACAATGAATTCTCCAAAGTAAAGTACACTAAACCGCTACATACAGTAACCAACCGTAAATGTCATCTCAATTCTTGACTTGTCACAGGCACTGTCATTTGACTTGCTCCTGTGTCAAAAGGATGATGTTACACTATGCACAGTGCAAAATTGGTTAGTACAAGCAAGGAGACCACCAGTTTGGGCAGTGAAAAAAAGTTCTACTGCTCTTACAGTGTTCTGGCAACAGTTTTACAAATTGCATTTAGAGAATAACCTGATATACTGCTGTTAACGTAACCAACCTACGTGCTACAGCTCCTACAAGGAAACCAGACAGTTAGCCACCTTGGTTACAGAAAGACACTTCTTCAAGCTCGAGAGCAGTTTTACTGGCCTTTTATGGCTAGGGACATTGGAAACTATTGTCACCACCGTGTAGAATGTCAATCCGGAGCTATGTCAGTAACCAGTATTCGTGCTCCTCTTCAGAAGCCAGTTGACATCTACCATTCCATGAAGTGGCTGCAGATATACAGTAACTGAACACCCTAAATCACCAGCGGGTACAGGTACAGGACTCTTTTACTAAGTACCTGTATTCCAAGAAAAAACAGTGTGCTGTCACAGTTGCTCACTTTATTTTTGAGCAATACATAAGTGAGCATGGAGTTCCAGAATATACTGTACATGAATCAAGGATGACCATTTGAGGCAGATTCAGTAAAAGAACTGGAGTAACAAAAACCAGAACATCCTCCTATCATCGAGCAGGTAATGGGTTAATCAATAGATTTAACCAGTTCCCAAAGGACCAGCTGGCCAAATGTCTATATCAACAACAGGCTTGGGGTACGTTGCCGTGCTCCATTAAGCTTGTCTACAATACAAGCGTACTCGCCAGCACCAGGTATAAGCCATTCTATCTGGCGTATGGTTGTCAGACTTGTTTGCTAGTTCATTTACTGTTTTCTCCTCCAACTGGACTATCATCTGCATCTCCAGAAACACCAGCCAAATGTGCTGCATCCATTTGTTGTAAACTTCAGCTCATTTATAAGTTAAGCCAGAAACACCCAAAAGCTGCACATTTAATACAAAAGACCCAGTATGAAAAAAGAAAGTAAAGCACCTACCACTTGGGGGAGTTAATTGGGTTGAATGATCCAGCTCATTCTCAGTGTGAAGTGGTGCCACATTGGAAAGGGCTGTATTGTATCGTACACTTACTGTAATACTGTACATCCTGCTGATGGAGATGGGGTTCTGTATGTCATTAGATAGAAAGATCCCCCTGATGGACCTACCCAAGTAGTTTTAAAACCATTTAAACAACTGTTTAAAAGCCTGACACCTACTTACAGTACCCACAAACAGAATGTCTCCCTCCAACTAAACCTGCCCCAATTCAACTGACCGACAGGGTACCACCCCAGAGTGAAAACCGAGATGTTCAGGTACTGTACCTGTTGCTACCCCTGAGTTGCCTTCAATCATCTTTTCTAGAGTGAAGCAGTGCCGCTTTGCTACCAGACATATGAATAATGGACAATCCTTTGTACAATCTGATCAACAGTCTGAGCTTCCAAGGAAATTACACCAAAGTGCAACCCAGGTAGCATCTCAAAAGGACAATATCTTCTGCTCCCCTGAGAACTCAAGAATGCCTGGTCGCAGGCTGGTTGAATTGCCTGTCCATTTCAGGTTGATAGATGATTATATTAAATGAATTTGAAATGAAAACAAAGAATTTCAGTGGTTTCCTGTTAATTGAATAGCAACAACATGTTCTTTTTCAGCAAGAAAACGTAGCCTGGATAAGGTTGTCCAGAGCCATGTTTGGTTTGTTTATTCTCTATTTGAAAATGTTATCTGTTCTCTTTACAGTGAAAGTAGCTTAATGATACATACTTGTGGTTTATTGAGAGTGGCTGAAATAATAAAAGTGACTGACAGTCAATGTTGTTGATAAGGTGAACACAAGAATATTCTGAAAAGCATCAAGATATGGTGATATCTGTGCTCATCCGAATGATGTCTTGGGTCTTCGTAAAGTTCAATTTAATAAGTCATCACGTAGTTTACTTTTCTACTAACTGCATGCCAAAGACATGGTGCTGCGAATGTGGAACAGCTGTTAGGAAATGCATGAGGCCAGGACTTCATCATCATCTGGCTATCCTGCCTTGTTTTTTCCTTCATTACTCCTTCCTGTTCTCCTAAAATAAAAATCTTGAAATCATTTCCTTTTGTGTAATGAGGCCATTGTTAAGTACAGACACTGTAAATATTTGGACAGGACTTTTGTAGTGTAAACTGTGGATTTGAATAATTTAATCACACTGATTTGGATGCTGAGAGTTATTAAAATACTGGAACAATGGGTGTTGTATCTTTTATATACTGTACCTACTGTGAATAAAAATTAATAGATTATTGGCATTCAGATTATTCACATCTTAAAACCCTTATTTAAAACAAAAAGAAGAAAAAATAAACAAAAATGTAATGTTTAAAAATGTTGCCTTTTATTTTTCCTAATGGAAGTTGGCAGGTTTCTCGTGCCTTTCTCATGCAGGACTTTAAAATACTGAAAAAGTTTATTCCCGAACATAGTCGGCTCCAAAATAAAATCCCTGCCTGTACGCCTGGCGGAGCTCCGCGCTGAGGCCTCGTTTCCTGTTGGGATTGTGGACATAAGTGAAAACTTTGAGTCTTATAGGACAATTCTTGAATAGCACAGTGTAAATATACGTACGTGACGTCTTAAAACATTTGAATGAAGAGGGGAGAGAGTGTGGAGTGGCACCGCCTTCCTTGCAGCAAGAGACTATTCGTTTCTTTCCCTTGACTGGATTTCTTCTGGTTTAACCCCCTACGGGCCGGGTTCCCTGTAAGAAGCCTCGGAATTTCCTAACAAACATCTGCGGGGAAAGTAGTCTCACACCTTGTACAGAACTATTCTGTTTCACCGGCACCATCTTTAGACATTCAGGTAGTAATGATTCCGATTATTTTTTTTGCCATTATTAAAATAATGTCAAACAGAAGTGTAATCGATTCAGGTGATTGGAGAAATGGGAGATCTGGCATGTCGGCATTTTAACGATGCATTGAGCGATATTGAACACACAAGTTAGCACAGCACCTGTAGCCCGTCTGACTAAAAAAATAAGTTGGAATCGCATACATGTATGTATATGTCACCGCTACATAATGTCAATCATGTTTTTCTAATGAGCATTGAGCTAATTTGTTTGCATTCAAGGCGAAATATATGTTCGATGCATGTCTGCCGGTGAATACGAAAGTTTCACTGTGAGTGAAACGATTTTAAAAATGCATAAAATTTTAGGAAGCACGAGTGCAGGGACACTGATTGCACTGCGTTATATATTTATAAATCTTTTCTGTAAATGTATTACTGTATGGCGGAATGTCATGTACCGAATGTACCGAATATCGCAGTTACTGTACCATTGATCAATGTATCATCAATTCAACTCTTTTTTTCTTTTTGATTACTATAAGGTAGTAAAGTAATTACGGCGATTTAAGTTTAATCTGAAGCTGCTGATAGGTAGCTTCGATTTAGGTTGAAGAAAGGGGGAAACGAATTTACTTATTTATTGGGGGAGAATACTTTGATACAGGGCTGATCCTACTCTCTCTCAAAATAACCAAAAAAGTGGCCATTCCAGTTTCAAGAAAATCGGGTGGTTGCATGAGAATCAGACTTGTGATTTTAAAAATCCATTGCGATATATTTGAATGAAGCACCGTAAGGTCTTAAAGGAGCTTAGACTCATAACTTGACATGAAGCAAATAAAAATATTTTGGCTGCTTTCCATTTTTAAAGCCGGAACCGGAGGCGTACTGAAATATGAAGAGACTGTGCTTCTGAATGTGAACTTTAACCCTGCGCGTTCTGGTTATTCACGTTATCTGGCTCACTCCATCCATATGATCTGTTAGGTCTCACCAGTGCATGTCCTGACATGCTTTGCTGCAGGAGAAGGACAGGGCTGGAGCCGAGAGAGGAAGAAGGAGGACCTCGCACAGAGAGAACAGGAGAAGGAATTCCGTCTTGGTAGATCCCAAAGACTTATAGGGAAGAAAATCTGGGAGAGGAGCGCAGTGCGAGGAGTGTACAGTGAGCTGTACACAACAAGGGGAAAGATAAATGTTAGTGGTAATCAAGTGCTTGCCAGGACTTCCTGGATGAGGTTAAAAGAAGAAACACAGAGGCAGGCGGGACTTTTCCAAAAGCTTTTCTCAAGAGGAGATCAGGAAGATTTTGCCCCAAGAGCGCAATTAGGTGTGGCAACTCAAATTCCTTAGCTGTTTGTGATTGCCAGGGGACAGAAGACTCACAGGGGTGGGTGTATTCTCTGATCTTTTTTAGTACAGTTTTTATGAGGAATGTCCACAGAGGTTACATTGCTTGGACAACAAAAAGTGATGCCACGGTGAAAAGCTTGTGAGAATTGTTTCTGGCTCTTCACTTTTAGCAGCCTGTTTTAAAGACGCCTATCCCAGACCCTCTCCTTCCCCAGAAATGGGTTCGGCTGGGTGCACCCCTTGCTTCCTTCAGGGATGAGTACCAGTCTGCTGCAGGGTCGGTCCTTCTATTGCCGGGAATGGGCCCTGAACAAGATCCAGCACTGGCTAGAGAGCCGGGCTGTGGGTCGGACTCAGGGGGTCGTGATCACCGGGGGCCCGGGCAGTGGGAAGACTGCCCTGTGCACCGAGCTGCTCTGGCCAACTTCCGAGGCCTGGGCCCGCGCTAACCTGGCATCCCGGTGCCTGGCTGCCCACTTTTGCCAGTGGGAAGACAGAAGGACGGTGTCAGTGTCCGGCTTTATCCTGGGATTGGTGGAGCAGCTCCAGAAGAGCCCCCAGCTCTTGGGCTACAGTGAAAGAGTGGCAGCCCCCGCAGTCCAGACAGCTTTGGAGCCACTGCAATGTGAGAGGGACCCCGACGAGGCTTTCAAAAGGTACTATATGCTCAATGAGAGAGTCTTGAAATGATTTAGAATGAATGTTACCATGTTGTAGTAAAGACACAATTTCCCAGTCGGTTGTTGTATATTTGGGAACAGATATACATCACCACATATGGGTTGTGCAAACTTGCCTCTACCGGCAACCCATCCAATAACAGTTTTACTGTTATTAAGGACCAGTGTTTGTTAGAAATACCCCAACATCAGATGTAGTTTTATTTAACTTTTGATCATGCTAATCAGATATGTGTTCTATTTAGTCTTGTTATTTAGTTTTGTTTTCTTTCAGATGAAGTTATTTGCGTATATTTTACTAAATGTGAAAGGAAGCATGTCTTTGCAAAAATGCCCAGGAGGTTAGATTAACTGGTAGAATCCTCTGTTCATCATTCGTCTCACAAAATGTGACTTCAAAAAACCTCTTGATGCACTCTCACCTGATAACATGTTCATCATTCAGACTGTAACACTGCTTGTCAGATTGATGTTTATTTGGCATTTTCTAAGGCTTAATGTGCAGTGACAATGTTTCACGGCTCTTGAAGATCAAAGATTGGTTATTCCTAATGAATGGGCAGACAAGATGTAAAAAAAAATGAAATGGGCACTTTTGTTTGGATTGGTTTGGAAATCCAAATCCAAACTAAGCCATTGTTACTTTAAATGTGTGAGAGACATTTCTAGTATTTCTAGTTGTGTAGTGGTTTCTTCAACCTTTTCTCTTATCTAACCCCTGCTGACTGAGCTCTAAAATACTTTCTTCATGAAACTGCAGCATCTTAAACATAAAATAATGATTATTTATATTGTGCTTTCAAAAGCAGTAATCAAAATTTGATTGTCAATCGAAGATAGCTAAGCTTCTGAACTCCATAAAATGTGTTTGACTTAACATAAAACTGTAGTGAACTTTCAAATGTTAAGCATCTCAATATAGAAATGAACTCTTCCTGAACAGCCCTCTCATACTGTATAGGATCAGGAGTAGCTGGTAAGAGAGAACAATTAGCCTAAGTCAGTGGTTTCCGGTACAGCTCCTAAGGGACCTAACTGAGTCCTTAATTACAAGGTACTTGATAGGTATTTGCTATTTGACGTGCACTTTAATAATAATGTAATCAGCTTTTATAGTGTATCTTTCAAGTCACAACACAAGAAAACAATCAAAAGAGCTATACACAAATTTAACAGAATTAAAAGATTATGTACAAAAGTGAGTTTTAAGACAGAATTTGAAAGTGCTGACTTGCAAGATCTGATACAGTAAATACAATCTCCCCGAGCTCAGATCCTCGTATTGAGATCTGATAGAAGAGTCCAAATAATGAGCCGGTGTGTACGGAGTTAGGGGCTTTGAGTGCTGATATAGTCATGACTCAAAGCCCCTAACGATAGGCAGCAGAGTTTTGGATTAATTCCTTACACTTATATAGTGCTTTCAGCTATCAGTGGGGAGGAGAATTGAGTGACAAACCCAATTCATAGCTAAGGATTATAAGGTTAGCTTCAGTAGCTTGCCGTTTGTGAGTTGGAGTGTGAAATGGCTGCTGAAATCTGATATTGAAATCCACAGGAAGGCCTTGCAAGGACGCTAAAATAGGAGGGAGGTGCCCAGGCATTTTACTGTGATTAAAAGATGCAATTTAAGAACATACAGTATTTGGATATACCAGCAAGCACTGCAATACAGTAATCAAACCTGAAAAAGATGGACTGGACTACTACTTTTCTGTACTGTTCTACTAGAACACTACTAGCTTTTCTGGATTGGATTTGGAGAGATGTGTTTGAATACGCACAATATTAATTAAAACATGAAACCAAACAGATTTAAGCAGTGGTGGAATGGATAAAAAAATTGGAAAATATTTTGTAACAAAAAAAAACGTTTTCAGGCGTAACTTATTTGCATATAAGTAAGCTTGTAACGTAAGAGAAACTAGCACTCTAGAATCCAAAAGCTGGATAATAATTATTTAAAATTGACACGCTGGAGTCTAAATCCATTTTTTTTAACAGAGGAGTAATAACTACAAATTTAAGGGCCCTTTTGAATTTCCTTCAGGGCAACAGAGCTTCCCGCATTCAGGTTTGTTCACAATTGGACCTTTGGAGAAGGAAAGAAATAACTCATTTTGGGAGACTGACGTCATGCCAGGCCTACCTGCATCTGGAAATTGTAAATCAATCACATTTGAACAATTTTTAAGACTGAAACAACGTGGCATGGGCATAGTCATCCAAGCCGAGGAGAGACTGTTTAAAGTTCTGTGCGATGAGCAAGTCAATATCTATTAGTACAAAAGACTGAGCTCAGATGGCATGAAAATTAGCGGACCCAGGATCCCCCAGGAACTGGGCTGAGAACAGTGGCCTATGTTATATGCATCGCTAGAGCCTCGCATGACCTATTGTGCAATTTGAAAGTTTAATCGAGTTTCAAATATGGCCATAAATTGCAGGCAATCCAGTTTTGTTCAAATGAGTTAGAAATAAAATGCTTCATTGTTTCTGTATTTTTCAGCGAATGTTTCAAACATTTTGTGTTTGAGTTTTATGGAGATCTTCAGCTGAGATGAAATCAGAATTGTCATAGCTAGGATGGACATTATGCGACCCTGAGGATGGTATAGACCACATTCCTGCATTAAATTTACATCTTGAATTCTAAGCCTTTAGCCACTGTTTCTTAGTTTCTCTTGAGTAGAGGCTTTTGTTGGTTCTTAAAAGAGTCACGCAGCCATGATGTTTTTCTGAGCAATACATATCCCTGTTGTGTCTTGTGACATGGCCTCAGGCTGTCAGTAAACCCCGAGAACACTGACTGATAAGACTGGACACAACACAGGCTGATTGATGGATAAGAATGGACCGAAAAAAATCCTACCCTACACATTTTTTTCAGAATCGATTCCTAGTTCAATACTTTTTTTCCTGGAAGATACATTTTAGCTAAAAATGATCTCTTTTGGGTTTAAAATCAGATGCTTATTGTTTGGGGGAAGTCTGGAGAACACAGCCTAGACTCATTGCAGTATACTGCCGTTGTTTACTACATGATACTCAGCACACAAAGGGTTCAAATTCATATTCATTAACCACTCTTCAGCATCCCCTCTATCTGAGATGAATCCACACCAATTTAAACGGCAAATTAATCGTGGTCCTGAATTGCAATGAGTCTAATTACAATACACAGAGCAGAACGAAACTCTGCTGAAATGCTCTCCCTTAAGCAATAGGCTATGATAGATAGATATATGATATATGACAGCTTAAATCGTGTTTAAAAGGGTCGATATTCTGAAATCCTGCACTCCTTGTCAGAGGTTTTCCAGCATCTCTTGGCTGTGTGATATGATCACATTGGCAGCACAGTTCCCGTAGGAGGAGTGAGAGGCGTACCAAGACCTGTAAGCCAGGGTACAACAGCCAAGAATGCTGTGATCTGATAAGATTATTAGTAAGGAATGGTTAAACCTGGCCTCTTGTAACATGTTTAATATACAGTACAGTCAAGTTCAGGATTGTCACAAGTAGGGGTCTTTAGCTTAAGAATTCATGAGGTACTGGAGAACATCACAGTAGATGTGGAGCAAATAAACATTTATTCATCCTCCGTTTCCCCACATACTCTTTTGAGGAAAAAACTCTCTTTTAAAAAAGTGACAAATCAGTATAGTAAAAGGCAGGAGAAAGATGGCATAGGAATGGCAAAAAGAATATATAATGTATGTACATCTTATATGACATCAAGACAAATTTCTGTTAGAGCAGGTGAATACAGTGTACAGGGAACTATTTCTGTTTCTAATTCTTCTGCCAAAGCAAACACAGCTTAAGAAATGTTGAAGTAAACTTATCCTCAGATGTTTGTATCATGATCAGAAGGTAATTAAACAAGGCACCGAAGGGTTTCAAGTTATGTTTATACCTTACTCCTTTGTTTGACTTCCTTCTTTTAAAATTGATTTTATCATTTTTCCATGGAATAAAAACATACATCTTTCACACCTGTGTTGGAACAGCTACACTGGCTCACAGTAGGTTATAGGATTGAAAAGATATTTATTAATTATAGGAATATAATGTCTTGTGTCCACATCTGAAGTAGGGGTTATATTTGCATAAATGAAAAGCAGCACTGTAAGCAGATAATGAGATTTTGGTAAATTAGCTCCTGTTTATTCTACCAAATTAAAGGCCTTTGTGAGGCTGAAGGAAAATTGGACATACAATTTTGAAAGAACAAATAAACTATGTATTTTACAGGGCCTGATTACCTTGACTAATTTAAGAATAGTGTTGTATGTTCTGCTGTTTCTACAATTATTTAATTTTGTGTTCATGAGATGGGTTATGTGTATATTACTATATGTTGCATTACAACTTTGTGCCTTTCATGCAGTGTACTTTCTTGTTTTTTTGTGCAGCACTCAGGTGCACTTAGTTAAAATGCGCCTTGCACAACAGACAAAGATATTTATATATACATTTTCAGTTTTCTGTTTGCTGCCAAGCCATAAACAAAGTCTGGATGCTGTACTTCTTTGAGGCAGAATTGCTGTTTTGTTTCTAAACAGATGTACTTTCCTGTGCATGAAAGTTGCCAAACTCGATTTAAGGATCATTGAGAATAAAACTTAGTCCTTTGCAAAGAAAAATATTTAAAATACTGTAAAGAGAAAATACTGCGATAGCCTGGTGTCCCAATAGCCTTGTGTCCATTGCTTGCCATATTAGTCTTAGGCTTCCCCATGAGCCTTTATTTTTATAAAGTGGTTAGAAAATGCATGGATGGATGGAAAGACATAATAAAGAGATTCCCTTTTTAGAAGTATGTGCCTTAGGTTTTGATTCAAAAATTGCCACCACAGAGGCATTTATTACAAAAGATGACGGTGGGTTCTTCAGTCTTGGAGCATTATAACAGCCTGTCCCTTTTCTATTCTCTTTTACTCTTGGAGCTCAGAGTAAGCCCATGTTTACTCACCTTATTAACTTTACTGTACATGTATATGGAGTGTTCTTCTCAGTTAAATAGTCTGGAGCCTGACTAATATTGTATAAAGCACTTCATATAATTTAATATCATTTCAATCCTATAACCTACTTTAAGCCAGTGTAGTAGTTCCAACACAGGTGTGAAACATTTTCATTTCAAACCATTTCACAGTAACAGCAGCATTCAATACAAGCTGTAAATGAGACAGAGCAACATTTGTAACACAGGAAAACAAGAGACCCGAGTTTGAAATTGTTACAAAGTATTAACGCTTTTTTTCAGATCTTAAGAAAGTTATCAGTAGATTGTTTAATAAGCGAGTAAGAGCTTAGAACAAAATCAGTTTTCTCCCTCCACCCAAGTTTCTCAGGTTGGACTTTAAACTTAAAGTCAAATTATCCAAATTTGTTTCTGTCAATACTTGTTTCAAGATCCTACTTTTAAGACCAAACTGCCTTTGCAAATAACTGTGGCATGATTTTAAGATGTCTTAACTTTTAATGTCGGAAACATATTCAAATAAAGCTGAAGTAGTCTTGATGTCCCTTGTTTTCTGTTGTGTTATCAGCATAACACTGAATGTTGACTCCATGTTTCAGAATGATCTATTCTACCTAATGAAAACATGTGTGAAGAAAATAACAGAGGACAATGAACAGAACCCTGAGGCATACTACATATAATATGAGCCCGTTTTAATGCAGGTCTTTCACAACATGACAAAATACTTTTTGTTGGTTAGGTATTATTTAAACCAATTCAGAACAGTTCTCTATAGGCCCACCTATTATTTTAGACCATTCAAAAAACATGTATGTTCCACAGTATTAGATGTAGCACAGGATTAAAATAGAAAAAATTGAAACTGTACACATACAGTAAATAGGTTATTTGTCACTTTTACCAGAGCAGCCTCTGTGCAGAATGGATCTGCATGCTTGCATATTTTTAAACATTTGTTCATAAACTCTTGTTTTTCTATTAGATGCCTTCTCAGTTGAGATTTGGTGGTTGTCAACTATGCTTACTGCAGCAATCTTTCACTGACATGTGGAGAGCTGGCCCTGTGAATCTTTTCTTCCAGAACCTCTTCTTGAGCCATTTGACACTGTAAGCACCAGTTTCTTGCAGGACAGCAGGAGCACTATGTCTCTCAGAGTTACCATACAGTACCAGGCTCTTGACTGTCCAGTCAAGTCACAGAGGTCTATGCAAACCCACCTAATCCAGAAATGCAAAACCTAAGATAAAACTCATGAGGGATGTCCTCAGAGATACAGTAGGTGATTTACCCTTAGTCATGTCCTCCTTTTGCTCAGTCAGGGTTGTGCACCATCCTGAACGGTGGATGCCATAGGAAACAAAGTAGGTAGATCAGACATTAGAGAAACTTTGTTCAGTTTACCCTGTCGTATCAAATATAGGAATTATGGAAATTTAGAATAAAAAAGGCAAAGTATTAATATTATCTGCCCTCGGTCTAACAGTAATACCCTCTACCTAAGTGTTTAGTGAACTAAATTAACATACAGTACATTTTTACCGTGCCCTGTTTTTCCAAATAAAAAGTTGAGATACTCTTCCTGCAATGCAGAAGACATTGTGACAAGTGCACCAGCATGACATCTGATGAAATACAGATGCATGATTTCCATTAGTGTTCTCAGGAAGCTGAAGAAAAGAAGCATATGGAAACTTAAAAGTGTGGTCTCTGAATTCTATAACAGTTATTAAATGGCTAGCAGAGATTCCATGCTGACATGCCATTCTCATTCTGTACAAGGAATATACAGTAGCTGTCTTGTGTTCACACCTGAAGTAGAGGTTATATCTAAAGAGTCCTGTCACTCCATTTACAGTGCCAAGCAAACATCTTCACCCCCTACCAATAACGTCACATTTTAATAATATTTTAAAAATACAAATAATTTACAAACAATGTTTCAAGTGCCCATGGCGAAAATCATAACCATGACTCAAAAGCTGAGAGCAGTGGTGTTAACTGACAAGAGCATTTACATGGTTTAGTTCACCAACTCAGGAGTAAAATAAGCTCTTACACAGAGCAACTAATCCTCTCGTTTGTATTTATCGGTGTCAATAAATGGTATAGTTGGCAGTAGACATTCGTATTTTCAGTCTGGACAACTTCCCTACCCACACAGACAAAGGATTTAGCTGCTGTATCCCTGGCCATCAGCCCTCTCCAGACACACCCTATGCTTTAGATCTCTGGGTTTTCTCTCACTGAAATCAGGTGTGTTGTATTACGTTCTAACTCACTGAAGACCTAATCTTTCTCAACCACTTTTGGGCTGTTTTGCCTGGACCATATACAGTATGTTCTTAGCTCTAGGTGGTGCAGTGTGATTTCTTAAAATGTCTTTTAGTATGGAAATGGATAGCTTAGGTATTCAGTTTATGTTCCTGCGAGCTGCTTACTGTATGTCTGTCGACAAGTCCTGCTGGCTTCTTGAGTGCAGTGTTACAGGAAATCCCATAGCTTCTTAAGCCCTGACTCATAAAGCCACTGAAGAACCGCCCTCCTGCCTGAACAAGACCAGGGGTGGGACCACAGCTCTGATAGGGTGAAAGAGAAACTGTTTTGCAATATTCCTAATTTAATGTCTTAATAAGATAATCTTAATAAGATAATCAGACTTGTTATGGCAGAAGTCTGTAATTTCTTAGCTCAGGTGTTTAGTTCTGTCTTATTCTCCTTGTATTGCATTATTGTTATCGAGGTGTATGGAAGTCTTTTTAAGTGCTTGGTTTCAAATGTTATTTGAATACGTTGTTTTAGCTTAAAATATGTATTTAAAAACCGCCAAACTGAATGATCGCGTGATTTAAGTATCAGTTCTGATATGGTCTGTAGTTAGAATTCATTTATTGACCTGCAGTAGTTATTGGAGGACATCTGCTGTAACCTTTTATTGACACTGTGCATATTATCTTTTGAACAGCTGAACAGTTAACATTTTATGAAATCCAGGTTAATATTAATACCCAATGGTACAATGGTATACAGTTCGTAATTGGGACACATTATGTAGTACTTGGTATAGGTGCCTGCAGGTAGCACTGGGGCTGGCACTCTTCCTGCAGTGGCACTGACTCCCCTTCACTTGTGATGTGTTCTACTCTTAGGGCCTCTGTAAGGTGACTCTGGCCTTCCTTTCCCCTCAGGGCAGTGCTGCTGCCTCTGCTGGACGTACCCGCTCCATCCCAGACCCTGCTTCTCCTGGTGGATGGTCTCGACTCCGGGTGGATGGAGGTGGCTGTAGATAGGCAGGCTGTGGAGAAGAGCAGCTCCATCGCGGAGCTTCTGTCCAGCCACCAGCAGCTCCTCCCAGGGTGGCTGCTGCTCATCTGCTCCACACGCCGCCAGAACAAAGCAATAAGCAAAATGTTTTCAGGTAGGGGTCCATGGGTCGAAAGCACCTCATGCTTAGTTGTACACATTGAAATATTACTAGAAAGTTTTTTTTTCTTTGGTTGGGGCAATCTGGAGACAGATGGCAATATTAATGTTTTAGAAAACTGACTAGTCACTTTTATTCTGCTCTTCTTCAGTCAGGGCAACATTGAATGGAGCTGCAATCTTAGCAGCCCACCATGTACAAAATTAGCCTCCTTCTTTCAAGATGTACATCCCACACAGTCATTACCACTGAATAGCTGATGGCTGGTGTTGCAGTATCTTATCATGTGAAGCAGCTTGCTCTATGAAATACCTCAGCTCTCCAAGCAAACTATCTTTGGTATTTACTGTTCTTTAAAGACATGACATCTTTGTAAAAGCTAAGTAGGGGGCCAGTAGAAATTAATTCCATGCTAAGAAAGTGTCTATATACCAAAAAAAGGCTCAGCAGCTGACATATTGTGTTTCTTCTTTCTGCTATTGGAATTATTCTTTACATTTTTCTTTGTTAAAAATGCTACTGCTATTAATGTTATCATAAAAAAATCAAACTACATAGAAGGTTGAGCCGGATCACATACCTGTAGAGGACCTGGTGCTAAAATTGGTGTTTGGTCTTATCTGTGTAGTGTGCTGTTATGTTTTCATTCTGATATCTGCGATGATGGCTGACAATTTTCCTTTCCTTTTTTGCAGGTTTCCGGAAGCTGTGTCTTGATGACCTTCGCAAGGCTCACACTGTGCGAGATGTGCAGCAGTACATCCTGTTGCGGCTGGATAAGGAGGGATCCCTTCGGAGGCATCTCACGCCTGAGACAGCCGACATGCTCAACCAGTTGCACATTAAGAGCAATGGGTGCTTCCTTTTCCTGGAGCGAGTCCTGGATGGGGTGGTGGAGAACTTTGTGGCCATAAGAGAGATTCGAGACATCCCGGGCACACTGAATGGGCTGTACCTGTGGCTCTGCCAGAGGCTTTTCCCCAGAAAGCTTTTCTCCCGGGTGCAACCCGTGTTGAATGTCCTACTGGCCACTCCCCATCCCCTTACGCTGAATGAACTTTATACTGCAGTCTGGACAAAAGATATGGATCTAGCCCTTCCTGATTTTCAGGGCAAACTGGATGCCCTTTCTATGGTCTTGATTGATGGACCTCATGGCACCAAGCTCCTGTTTCATGCCAGCTTTGCTGAGTGGCTGACAGATGTCAAGTATTGCACACAGAAGTACCTCTGCAACCTGGCTGAGGGCCATGGCATGCTTGCTATGTCTCTCACTCTCCGGGGACCACAGCTTTCCTCAGAGGAAGTGTATCGACTTGCCTTTCACTTGGTCAGCTCTAACTTGCATTCAGACAACCTGACTCTTTTGGCATTGTGGATAGTTTGGAATGATGTGCCTTCTTTCACAGGTAATTCCCTGGATCCGGACTCTTTACCCCTTACTGCAGTTCAACAGGAAGTTCTGCAATTACTAATGAAAACTGGTCTTTGCTCACCTTTGTTCTCAGATTCCAATAATTTGTGCATCGGATGTGTATCAAATGGAAGAGTAATTAGAAAAGCCCTGGAGAGAGAGGACTCTGTTCGAGTTTTATTGGAAAATGGTGCAAGTGTAAACCAGACTGATCCCAGTGATGGACGGTCTTTGCTAGCTAGTGCAGCCCATGCAGGTTCAGCAGATGTGGTGGCCCTACTTCTCTCTAGAGGAGCTGATCCAGAGATCACTGATAACCATGGACAGACACCTCTGACTTTGGCAGCTCGTCAGGGCCATGCCAAGGTGGTGCAGTGCTTGCTGGGGTGGGCCCGATGTGAGAATGGTGCCTTACGAATGATTGACCATGCTGATATTGAAGGCTGGACTGCTCTGCGCTCTGCAGCATGGGGTGGCCACGCAGAGGTTGTTCGTCTTCTTCTAGATGCTGGTGCAGATGTGGATGGATGTGACTCCGAGGGACGGACAGCCCTGCGGGCTGCAGCCTGGGGGGGACACGAGGAAATAATCTGTACTTTACTAGATCATGGTGCACAGGTTGACCTCCCAGACCGGGATAGACGCACTCCTCTCATTGCAGCAGCCTACATGGGTCATCGGGATGCAGTAGAGATATTGCTAGACCATAATGCCCAGGTAGACCTGCGGGACAAAGATGGACGTACAGCCCTGTCAGTGGCTGCCCTGTGTGTGCCCTCAGCTGCTGGACGAGGCTACGGGGATGTAGTGAGTTTGCTTTTAGACCGAGGAGCTGATCCTGGTCACAAGGACCAAGATGGGATGACTCCTTTGCTGCTGGCTGCCTATGAAGGCCACGAGGAGGTGGTGGAGTTGCTTTTAGAAGCTGGTGCAGATGTGGATGAAGGGGCAGGGCTTCATGGTGGTTCTGCTGCAGTGACACCATTGCTTGCTGCAGCCTCAATGGGTCACATTTTGGTAGTGAACATGCTGCTCTTTTGGGGGGCAGCTGTTGATGCTATTGATGGTGAGGGACGCACAGCTCTGAGCCTGGCAGCAACCCGTGGCAGTGTGGAGGTAGTGCGAACACTACTGGACCGTGGGCTGGATGAGAACCACAGAGATGATTTGGGCTGGACACCCCTGCATGCAGCTGCCTGTGAAGGGCACAGAGGAGTATGTGCAGCCTTAACTGAGCGGGGCAGCATGGCCAGAGTGAATGAGCTAGACAATGATGGGAGAACACCACTTATCTTGGCTGCCCAGGAAGGACACTGTGACACTGTGAAACTGCTGCTTGACAGGCGTTCCCCCATCAGCCACAGGGCTTATGATGGGCATTCTGCACTAAGTGCAGCTGCCCTTGAAAACCACAGAGAAGTGGTGGAACATTTGTTGAGACGAGGAGCTGATCCAGACGTTAGGGATGCTGAGGGCAGGCCTTTGCTTTACCTCCTAGTTCTTGAAGGGTGTCTTGATATGGCATCCCTGTTCCTTGAAAAAGCGAACGTTCCATTGGAATCTCAAGATGCTGAAGGTAGGACAGCTCTGCATGTGGCTTCTTGGCATGGACAGCTAGAGGCCATCAGGCTGCTTCTTCAACATGGCGCTAATGCGAATGCTCAGGATGTAGAGGGTCGTCCTCCTTTACATTCTGCTGCATGGCAGGGCCATGCAAGTGCTGCAAGCCTCCTTATTGAATCTGGGGGTGCAAATGTGGACCAAACGTGTCACCAGCAAGCAGCCACTGCCCTCTGCATTGCTGCCCAGGAGGGTCACACAGAGGTAGTAGAGGTCTTGTTGGCAAAAAGAGCTAACCCAACCCATGCAGACAAGTATGGACGTACCCCTGTTAAAGTAGCTGGCAAGAGAGGTCATACCAAGATTGTACGACTTTTGGAGAGCTATGGGGCACCACACTATGTGGGATTATTGCCCTCCTCCCCTTGTATGCAGCAGTCAGAGACATGCACCATGAAGACTCAATCCTCTGGGATTACGTCTGCCAGCTCAGGAAGCACAGGAGAAAACTATAGGGATCAAGGGCTGCCTTCTCTTCAGCACAATCAGACAGCCAGCTCCTCGTCTTGTTCTCCTGGATCTACCACTGAAAGGTACAAATCTTTAGTTGCTTCAGAAAACTCTGCCCAGAGCTCCAAGAACTCATCTTCCACTTGCCACTCCCTGGCAACTACACAGACGGTGCCGGTGGATAGCTTGAGTTTCACACAGCAGATCCAGCAGCACTCACTTCCACGGAGCAGAAGCAGGCCCTCCACCGTGGTGTCCCCAAACTCCACACTGCGCAGCAATGGCAACAAACACAAAGTCAGTCCACTTTCACCACAGCCCATTTTTGACTCTGCTGTTCCAGGCAAGCCCATTGTGGTCTCAGGCTCTGTGGTGGCAATGGGAGACTGTCTGAAGCCCAAGATTCCTGCTCCCCCTCAAAAGGCTGAGGGTCTTGGGATGAAAGTCCTGGAAAAGACCCAGAGTCCCCAGCTCACTGGTGGGGGAAAGTGGAACTCTGTCATGGCTTCTCTTGGTGTTACACCTGGGCAAGAAAGTCCTACACGATCCCTAAAGACAAGGGACAGCCCACCTCTTGGATATCCTATCACAGGGAGTCCAACGGGAGGCTCTCAGCAGGAAGAGAGGGATGTTACTCTGAAGACGGCTGAACCCCCTCTCTGCATTCCAGCTGGACCCAGTCCCAGTGCCTTACCAGCTGAGCCTCTGTTTTCCTTAACCACCATGGACCCACAACTACACCTTAAACAAGCCATCAAGCTGCAGTTTGAGGGACCAACTAGTGCTGTGCTCTACAAGAGGGAAACCCCTTTGTAAGGTAAGGAAGGTGGTTGGATGGGGAAAGTTAATGAAAGGGAAAAATTAGAAGATCAGAGATAACCATCTTCAACAGCAACAACACATTTAATATGGCAACTCTTCAAATATAATGTAAAACAAAGCATTTTAAAATGGAGGCTGACCATTAATGCTCTGATGACACAGGCGCTACATTAGATTTCTCTGAATATCAGTGTTACTGATTTCTTATAGTCCACTCAAACTTTGAGAACAGTAGTTCCTTAAGCGGTATAGCTCTGATGAATTGATTCAGGAATACAGGTATAGAGTTGAAGTTTGGACTGAGAAAACTGCTTGTCCTTGTAGAATGTGAATCGGAAACAAGCAATTCACAATCCTTGAATTTATTTGCAATAATCCTTATTTAATACTGTACTGCTTTGAACATACAGGTTTCATTATTTCCTTTAAAGGAATACTAACAACTTAAAAGCATTAACATAAAGATTTCCCCTTGATCTGATTTCTCTGTCAGTTTTGCTGAAAAACTTTTTACTTCTAATTTCTATTTTTTTTAAAAAATAACAAAATGCTTTAAACACTAAAAACAAACCTTGTGTGAATTGTAATTTGGGGTAGGTTTGGGGCAGCCAAGGGTCACACAGTTTTTTTGAGACTGTTTTTTTTTTTTATATAGGTCAATGTGGGGACGTGAAATGGCTGGAAAACAGTGATTTTAAGACTTCCTGTGAAGAGGAGAGGAAATTACCACTGACATTGTGAGCCTTCTTTTGATAAGCACCCTGAAATACTTCAAAGACCCCATGTTTACACCCTATTATATAGTTGCTACTACTAGCACCTTGTAAAATACAATAATTTGTTCATTTTCAGGTCTCTTAACATTCTAATGAATAGGTAACAGCGCAGCCATCTCTTGATGCTATCCAGGTTGGGATAAGCTGGTTGAACAAGGACAGATCGGAGAGAATTTAAATGTAAGTGCATGGACTCATAAATGGAGGCACACGAATGTACTGTACCTGGCTACAGTGAGGGCTTTCTTTTAAACCAGAACTGAATGCAAGAGAAAGTGTTTTTGAACATTAGTAGGTTCAGAAGATTGCCTAGAGCGTGTCCTAACTGGTTCTGATCATGCCTATAGGCAAATACAATACAAACAACATGGTATATATTTTACAGGATCCCTGAAGGTTAGAGAAGTTGGTGGTTTGGACCAAGATAGGCAAGGGTGACTGCAACACACTAGAGTAGGTCCAGCCTCTGGTCATTATGGTTATATTTCCTATTATGCAGTGTAAATACATGAATGTGTGGGGTTTATGTACATAGATCCAACTCTGCCACAGTACTGTTAAGGAGGACCTGCCACAATGACATAACTGAGAGATGTTCCATGAAGGAGCAGTTAAATGAGCACTTTCTATAAAGCACCAGGCTTTAAGTTGGAAACTGGAGGTAGAGAAGAAACCTGCTGTGGTGTGCTTACTATTTATCAGGAAACATCACCAGTGCGTTTCCACTTCCAGAAAGGTTTGCTGAAAAATGTGCCTGGGTGTAATTGATGGCATTGTTCAGCAGAGCTGTGTACTTGACTCTTTAATTTGAATAACAACTGCAAGAATGTCAGCACTGTGTGGCTATATGGATAAGTGGATAAGAGGGGTTCATCTACTGAAAGAGGGTAAGAATTTCTCAAGTCTATATGTTTTCAGAAATTCGTTTCAGAATCAGAAATACTAATTTACTTATCAGAAATAAAACAGTTTTAATTGTTTTATTCATTGATTGCAAAGAATATTCTGAAAATCCTGGTACAGGATATTCTAATCTGAATACAAAAGGAAATCAGTCCATTAATTTTAATTACTTGTAAATCTTTTCTAATAAATAAATTAGAACCATTTCATCCATCTCTAGTGTTATGCAGTCTGGCAGCTGAATTTCACATGTTCTCACTGATTGAAGCAATAAAGCTATTGAGATATGTAAAAGGAAATTAAAATATAATTGTTAGTAGTCATTAAAGCTTGTTTTTTAATCCAAGTTGAAATCTACTTCAATACAAGAAGATCTTATAATTCACTTTCCAATTCCAGCAGTCACTGTTGACAGTGTTTTCAGATGCAGTATTAACTGAAATGACCAGATATTTACGTTTGTATCAGAAAGAGTTTAAAGGACGCTAAAGGACACAGCAGTATTTAGTCTGGCTGCAGTTTTTTCTGTCAATGTATGTCTTTTCAGAAAAGCAATATCATATATAAATAGTCTGTAAATCTTTGCTAATTGCATAATACTGTAGTGCAAATTGGAGGAAAAAAAACAACGTCATGTGAAAGCAGGATTGGAAAGTCATCACAGTGATCCTACAACAATTCATGTGGGGATGCTCTTTTGTTATTTTTCTGCAATTTGTGGTGTGTTTAAAGATTTGAAGGAGTTGAAAATGGATGCTATTCCAGGTTTAAAAGGACTCCGGGACTGAGTCTTGAGATGTTGGAACCTTGCTTTTTAGGGTGTGAGAGGTTCTGGGAAGAGGATAGCATCCTTATGGAAGTTGACAGTGAGTCTACAGCAGTGTTTAACACTTCAGCACGCGGGAAATATTTTCTTACAGGAGATGGTACCCTATGGCAGAATGAGGTGTCTGAATCATAGAGGATCAACATGAGTGAATCGGGGGAGTGAATTGTACTACTGTTTAAAGATTACATTGGTTCTTGTGTTAGTGGTTTCCTTTAATTGAATTTGATTGACCTCAGCCTGTCCAGTGTGTCAGTGATGAGTCGGTTGAGCAAAGCACATCATCCATCAGTGTGCAAGGTCACTCCTTCCTCAGATGGTTAGTAATGTTTCTCCACATTCACTGGCTAAGGTGGCACACAAATTCGAGCTGAACCTGCAGGAGTGAAAACGCCCCACATGCCTGAACACAGGCACCTCAGATGACACAACTCCTCGTGGTAATGGTAATGGGCAGACAGTGTGGCAGCGAGACAAAGAGTTGTGCTTCTCACCCACCTTCACTCTAGATCCACTAGCCCCTGCCTGGACTGTCGTCTGACTGAGCTTCTCTGGTGAACACAAAAGAGAGAGGGCTGCAGAGATGTACAGCCGCGACTACCCAGTCTCCACAGTCTCTTCAGCTGCTGCTTTTCCAGCCACACCATCAGTGTGATGTTGGCAGCCGAGCATGCGGTCTAGATTGAGCCCAGTCAGATCAGGCTGGAGGGTCACTTAGGAGGGCCCATTAAGTCTGACAGCCAGTTCTCAGCTTGCCTCCCTGTTGCTCACGGGGAGAGCTGAGCAGTTGGTCTTCTGATTGTGGAGGTGCGTGCGTAGTCCTGACTGTTGCCCTGTCTTCACAAGTGTCTTTGAGGCATGAGGGTTTAGTACAAGAGGTTTGTGGGGGGGCAGAGGCCAAGACTGATCCTTGAGTACTGTTTTAAAGCACTGGCATCAGCTCGGGATGGAAAAGATTAAATATTTAACTATACAGTTGTGTTCAATAGTGTAGGCACCCCTGGTCAAATTATTTTTTTAATCGGTTAAAATTGGCAAATAAATAGTAATTGTGCATTCAAATTTGCAGAATCATGTCACGTTTAAGTTTGCACCATGCAGAGGTTGTGCCAACTTCTTTTCACTTAGAGATTCTTTGAAACATGCAATTTAACCAGGGGTGCCTAGACTTTGGCACACAACTATGAATATATAAATATGTTCCTAAAACCGATTAAACATTAAATTAATATTTTTTTACATAAAACTTAACGTTTAATACGTGTACATGATACGGCTGATGTGAGCACCTGTGATGAAGATCACGCAACATAAACTGTACATTTTGGACTTATTAGGGCACTTTTAATAGAGGCCGGTAAGCCAGGACTCAAATTTCACTTCGCATCTGTTTTTTTTACTTGTGATGGGAAGTGCATTAGTCCATACAGAAAAACGAAAGCTGCAGAACATGAACGTTAGTATTTTCAACAAAACAGCAGGGGCTTTCTGGCAAAAGAATGTTTTGAAAACACCAAACAGAATTTCACTGCAACACATAACACTTTTAAGATATTTTCAATGGGGTTTTATAACATTAGTATTATCTATGAAACAAATTATATAAAATAGTTTAAAAACATTTTTCATTAAATGTTATTTGCATCAGATCAACATTAATATTAAACAGCAGTACAGTTTTGAAGAGCCCCGAAAGGAAAAAATGAATTAGTCTGTGTAGGTGGAGTATAAAGAAGGGATGGTGCACAGCATTAATGCAAATTTCCCTTTTCCAGTAACATCCATATTTTCAGAAACAAATATAATACTTGTTTTCAGAAACAAGTTTGAATGTGGCAGACAGTTTTAATATTTTAACTTTTTGTTAACCATGGATGGCTTATGCAGTAGATGATCTCATGAGCACTGTCCTTAAATACAATATTGCCAATGGGGTCTTGTCTTTGTTTATAGGAAGTATTGTCATATTTTGAATGCCTGTCTTTTCTGGTACTTAATAGTTTTATGTGAAATTAAGTTATAGTACACTCTTATGAACCACTGTCACCTCTTAGGAATTTAGTTTGATTTCACCAACGTATTCCTTTTCTAATAAGAGCATGTGCACTTACCTTTTCTAAAAGACACAAATGTATTATTCCAAATTGTTTGTTTTTCACCTTTTGAAAGAATGAGCCTTTTCAAATGTTCTATAAATCTATTTAAAAAACTGCCTTGAATTTTAAATTGGCATATCAGTGTTCTTATTGGAAGACACCTGAAGGCAGGAACACGGACTCCTTGGAGATGAACATGATGAATGAGGTGTAAATAACTGCACTTTTTCATGGGCTGCATACAGTATATGAAACAATATCACTGTATCAATATGAAGTGATAATGTTGTGTCAAGCAAGAAAAACAAGGAAAAGGTTTTTATATTGTTTTAGCATTGCTTAAAAGTGTATCTAAAGCTTTTGAAAACTAGGAGGTGAAAACTGTTTTTAGTCAATTTTGAAATCAGTGAAACACTTAATCTTGTATTGTTTCTTCCATGTCTAAGAAATGTGTTGCCTTTGTAATTGATGCTAACACAGACAAGAGCCATGTTGTGTCATGAAGGGCACTATATAAAATAATGATTAGAATCATAGGTATTGGTCAGAAACCCTGAAAATGGAGATCAAGAGGAAGTGCTACCGAAGCATTATTGTACAAGGCTGTGCACAGGGCTGCATTCCTCAGTTTGAACAGGTAAATCGAAAACAGGTCTGTTCTGTCAGTTGCTTATTCTTTCTATGGGGTGTGTACAGTTTGGGGTTATGATTCTAATGCACATTTCTCTTTTTAAAAGCTACTGTTTGTGTTTACTATTGTACAACACAGAGGTTTGTTATTTTTCTAAAGGGTGCTTAATGTATTCTGCATCAGTGGTGAATTTTGAACATAAATTCTTCTTTTGTAACATGTCGGTGAATATATCATTGACGTACAGTAGTATCTGTTTAAATACTTGTCCAAAGAGAAAATTTGCTAACGTGAAGCACTTTACAAATAAATGAACTTTTCCAAAATTTAAACAAAAATATATTGGCTCTATGATATGTTTCAGGTTTGTTGTATTTATTTTAAATCACCTTTTTGTCGAAAGTACTTGAGTTATTTTTCCAGACTTGTTACTTTGTAAATGACAGTGATGACTCTTTGCGTACAAGTGGGTCCCACACTGTCAGTCAGGCGGTGTTCTGAGAGACCAGCTCCAGGTCAAGGCCTGAAATGAACAGTGTTGTCTTTCCATCTTCTAATTATGGAAGACAATCAAAAGTTCTTGCACGGTTTTCTGTAAAGAACCTAGAATCTTATCTGAATTCTAGAGGATGACTACAGTACATTGGATTAAATTAACTGTGGGTGGTTCATGTGTTGAACAACACTGTCATTTCAAAGCCAAAAAAAACACTGTATACAGTACCATAGCAGTCACCCACTATGAACAAACATAATGGAAAACTCTGTGAATGTCTTGTTTCATTTTTTAAATAAAAACGTTTATTGTAAATTATGGAATCTGAAATTTTTTGCTTTGTTTTATCTCTGCATCTGGGTGAAGGTGCTGTGTTTTGAGCTGCAAGGATAGGTCTTCAATAAAAACATTAAATAAAAAAGCTTTCTGGATAGAAGAAACTCCTAATTGAATGTCTCATGCCATTTACAAATATCACACACTCTGTTCTCATTTATATGGAGTTTTTAGCAAGGGGCATATCTAGCTTTGGTATTTTTAAATGGCATTTAAAAAAAATCTCAGATGTAATTTGAGTAAAGCATTGTTATACACATATACACAAAGTTTTTGTCACGATGGAGTGTTTGGTTTCTAAGGGGGCTCTCACTAACAAAGGTAGGACAGGAATGAGGAGAGGTAAACACCTTTGTTCTTCAGTTCATAGATTTATTTCATGCAGCAAGGAAATTTAATAATATTAAAACAGACTATAGTTTGTGGTGTCCCATGTGTTGTATGTGCCAGCTCCTGCTGGCAATATTGCAGATGTACCCCTGGTTTGTGAACTACAGTCTATATTTTCATATCTTTCTTACAGTCCAACAAGAGGAAAAAAGACGATTGAAGATGCCAAATAGTCATCCACAGTGAGGGTCTTGAAACTAATCCAGGGGAATATGTCTTTCAAATGACAGTATATTTGTATAGATAATGTTTAGCCTTAAATTATAACTCTCCAACTTAAAAGGGCATTGCAGAAATACAGAATACTACAATTTCACCTAGATGAGTTAAATGAGACGTGAATGTGAGAAAGCTGGAAGATCCTACGCATCTGCAGGAACTGTGTTCATTTATATGATTACCTTTATTAGTCTTTTGTTGTATAGGTTTGTTTTGTTAGCCTTTAGAGAAAGGAGGATGCCTCACTTCTAGTCAAAACAGGTGGGATGATCATAATATTCAGGCAAATGAAATTAAAATACAGAACCTGCAGAACAAGTAGGACGTGTGTTGCTTATTACTAATTATTACAATGCAAATATTCGCTAGACAAATCGAGAAGGCAACAGTAACAGTGGGGTCAGGTTCAGTTGTCATAAGGGGACCAGAAGCCTTCAGTGTATTTAACCCATTGTACTCTTCACTTGTATTTATCTCCTGCTGAAACAGATCAGCAGGAAAATAATTTTACCCAGCACTTAGCCATTTCCAGAACGTTCCTAGAGTCAAATTCACAACATGAATGAGTAATTTGCTGTAGACTAACCCTACTAGATAAACTTCACCACTGGGCAAACACCAGACAGATAATGTTTAATGTAGGCAAGTTCAGGGTTATGAATGCAGGTAGTAAAAACGGAAACTAAATATGAAATAGGATGCTGAGGTGTTGTGGGGAAACAATTCAAAAGGTAAACAAAATACTATAGAATTGAAGGGTTGGAACCTTTTAAGCCTTGAGCAGAGCAGACATTCACGTATATAAGTATTCAAATATTTAAAGTATTTGTGCAAGGACAAGATACAAATATTCATGTTAATCCTTTGACTTTCTTTCTAAAGAGAAAAAAAACCAGAGGACACAAGTGGAAACTACAGTACGTAGAAATACTTTTCTGACAGAACAGGAGGCACATTGTTGCCCAAGAGGTTGTGGAATTCTAGAACAAGCTACACAGCCATGTTGTTGACCCTGTACACCCTGGTTTCTTTCAAGTGGCTTGATGAGATCATTGGATAAATTAATGAATAACTAAAATGACTAGATTGGCCGGATGGCCTCCCCTCATGCTTTTTGAGTCTGCTCACGGCTTGAGGCAGGCATTTCCTCGCATGTTTGAAACTCACTCAAATGCATTGCATTCAGTCCTTGTGGTGGGGTATCCTGTGTCTACTGATTTCCATTCCAACTGAGTTATTTATTAAGATATTAAACTATGCTCTTTGGATCTCAAATTTCCTTTATACAAGTCATTTCCAAGAAATGTAACGAGCAAAAATGAGTTTCAGCCTTGTCTAAACTTGTTGGTCTCCTGCATCTTTCTAAGCAACTCATTGTTCATCAATTAGTGATGCACAAAGAGTTCATAATGACACTGAAACACACATAAAAAGTGTTCCAAGTGTTGCATGGACCACTGCATACAGTCCATTCAACTTCACTGAAACAATAAACCTAAGAAAAGCCAACCTTGGGTCACAAAGTTTATGATAAATTAAAACAGAGCTCCAGAAATTGGGCTATTTCAATTAAATGTTTTTTTTAATAATACCGTGAACACTGTCAGCAGTTTTACTTATTCAGATCGTGATAATGATTTTTGAAGACAACTTTCAGCTGTTCATGTCATTAGTATTACTGCTAAACTTTCCTCATCACCATTATACTGTACAGATTAGGTTAATGAAAAACAGTTAATAATTCCATTCAATCATACAGTGCCTTTAACCCTAGAGGGTCCCAGAGTGCTTAATATACAGTATAGGAGAGGAGACACTTCATCCACTACTGAAGTGCAGCCCCACCTGCATGACACACAACAGCCATTCTACACCAGCATCCCCACTGCACAGCAGATCACATAAAGAAGTGAGAAATTGCTTCACTAAGTGATTTAAGGGGGACTTTTTTTAAGAAAGGCAGTATGTACAATCCCAGAGTGGCACTTAGCCATAACACTGGGAGGGGTGAGTATCCCTACTATTTTAAAAGTACTCTGGGATCTTTAATAATCAAGTAGTCAGGACCTCAGTTAATGTCCCGTCCAAAGGAAAGCACCTTCTACCTCAGTCACCATACTGAGGCATGGGTTTAGTAACTGATCCAGAAGGAAAAGTGCTACTTACACGTTATCTACAAAATTTGCAGATTTCTTTAGAGGTTTCCCCGTCCTAACCAGCTTCCGAGATCTGACAAGGCTGCGAGATCTGACCAGGCTGCAAGATAGTAACATTTCTTACAGTTTATCTATTGATTTATAGTTCTGTTAGTAACATTTATCATTTATAATTACAGATTTCAATTTGATTACATGATAAAATTAGGAATCCTTCATTTCAGAGATTTCGTGAAAAGGGATCTTCCATCCCTGTTAGAGGTAAAACAAAGCCAACAACATCCTGGCGGATTTGGTGTGCCACAAAAAGCCTGCAAAAATAATTATTTGTACTGAAAGATCTTGATGCAGTTGTGCATGCTGTCTGCCACCACTAGATGTCCGTCTGGCAACAGAGCCAGACCCCTGGGGCTGCTCAGTCCCTCTCTGATGATGGATCTTCCTGTCCCCTGAGAAGGATACAGCAAAACCTTGTGCTCCTTGGCCCAGTCTGCCACAAGTATATCACCATCTGTGTCAATGCACACTCCCCAGGGGCAGGAGAGCACCGGTCCCAGACCAGCATTAATGCCCAGGATCCTGATGGTGCTCCAGCTGGGATCCAGGACTTTAACACAGGGTGCTCCACTAGTCTCACTTCCCCTCTCCGAGACGGCAACCAACCCTGTGGTCAGGCTGGCTGCCACAAGATATGGTTTACAGAATCCAGGGACCACAGTGCGCTCCAGCTTACGGCCTGTTTTGGGTTCCAGCTGGAAAGCAGTCAGGGTGCCACGTCGGGTGTCGGCAACTACGAACTCATCCCTTTGATTGACAGCAACCCCCCTTGGGGCCTCTAGCTCATCTCCACCTCCACCGAAGGCCTGCAAGCGACGCCCGTGTCGATTGAAAATGAGAAGAGCACGCTCCGCCGCGCAGCTCAGTGCGATTAGACCCTTTCCATTTACAGCAATGTCAAAATAGTTGTGGTGGCGGCGGGCCGTAGAGCCCTCAGTACCCTGGGTGGACACTTGCTGCAGTATGTTGCCACGTGCATCTGTCACTTGCACCCTGGCATTCCCACAATCCACTACATAAAGCTGGCCCTGGGGCATGGCATGAAGCCCACTGGGTAGACTAAGTTCTGCCCTCCCAGAGCCAAACTTTCCAAACTGTCTGACCAGACGCCCTTGCTTCTGTCCTTCTCTGCCTTCTTCTTTAATCACAGTCTGCTCCACCTTATCCCCCTTGCCACCCATTCCTGATCCCTGCTGCTGCTCTCTGGCAGAATGAAAGCCTCTCAACTTTAGCCCTGCACTCCCACGTTTAGAGGGAGCAGATGACACATCTATAATTGACATTGAGACCGACCTAGAAACACGACCAGGAGTGTTTTTCGTACTCTGGAAAGAGTGAGTGCTCTTACTTTTAAACCCAGTGCTACAGAGGTCCTTGGCTTCATTCCCATTCGAAATCCGACTGAGAGATGAAGAAGCGCTTGATAAACGCTTCCTGTTAACCCGTCCCTGTCCTACCTCGTCTCTCCCTGACCCTTCAATGAGGGGAGGTGCTCTTCTAGACAGATCAAATGTAGATTTTGAAAGGCGCAAGTCTACACCACTGCTGCGAATGGGGATACTGTAATCCCTAGGGGAACTTACGATGAAAGTGTAAGAGGAGTCAATGCTGTCCGCTGGTGAAGCAGGCCTTCCTGTATCTCCGTATGTACCAACTGCAGGATCCTCAAGAGACAAACTAACATGAGAGGGGGACCTATATCTGGGAGAGAGATCAAGACAGCTCCGGCTAATTGCAGAATCTCGAATGCCTGTCTTGGGGTCTTGTTTGTCTTCAAGACTCTGCTTGGAGCCCCTGTTTGACGACTGTGAGGCTGGCAGACTTTTATTATTTATAGCGAATCCTTGAGTGATTGCATTTTCATTCCAAAAGGTGCTTTCCGCATGTTTTCTTGTCTTGCCTATGTGACCTGGATGGCTTTTACTGGCTGCAGAGATCTCTTTTTGTGTGCTGAATTGAGCTCTGTGCTGGTTAGCCATCAAGACCTGATCTTTAGGTGGTCCTACATGGATTCCAAGATCAGTAGATCCCGGGTGATGTACCACACACTCTAGCTCTCCCTCCTGGCGGGCAGAGGGACAACGGCTAGACAACAGAACAAGAGCTCTGCTGGAAGGGGGGCTGCTTTTGATGTGATTACCTTCTGTACCTTTCTCAATTACAGTCTGCTCTTCCCCATTCTCCGATTCCCCATCACTCAGGAAAGCAGGAACAGCCTGAAAGAGGTCTCTCTCTGAATCTAAACTCATTGCCAAGTCACGTTCCCCATCATCAACTTCTAACTCAGGTTTCTGTGAATGAATACGGGAGTCTGCCAGAGAAGACAGGTCTAGGGCAGGAACCTCTGTGAGCTGTGGCATTTGTATACCGCTGTTTGTCTCCCGTTCGTTTTTTATTTCACTGATGAGTTTAGCTTCCTGAGACCCCATTCCGTCACCTGTTTCTGCAACCCTGGGAGAGAGACGAATCTTCCTCACTACTCGTACACCCCCACACTCCGCCACAGATGTCTTGGGAGACCATTCTATGACTTTTTCATCTGCAGTTTTTACCATGGCTCCATTCACTCTCTGCACTCGGTTTTCACCCCCACAGGCTTGTATTTGATTTCGGTTCACCCCTTTGGAGTGACAGCTGTCACCCTGCCCCCTGCTCTGACCCTCATGTGGAGTGCGGACACGCAGGCTGTGCCCCTGGACCCTGATCTCCCCGAACAGGACCAGCTGGTGGGGAGAGGGGTGAAAGCTGACCCTTTTCAGCGAGAAGGGTGGCTCCCAAAGCAGCAGCTCTGAGATCCTGTGCTGGAGGTTCTTCTCCAGGTTTGTCCGTCCCCCTCTCTGGATTTGATCACGGAGCTGAGCCAGAGCCTGCAGCCTCTCCTCGATGGAGGCCTGGATGGCTTGTGCCGCAGCTGTGTTCTCCTTCTGCAGCTGTTCCAGCTGGAGCCGGGTGTCCCGGTGCTCCTGCCCCACCCTGTCTATCAGTCGCTGCTCTTCCCTCTGTGCTCCCAGCAGGGCACATTCAACAGACCTGGACACGCTCTCCATGTCCTGAATCTGCTGTTCCCTCAGGTGCAGCAGGGCCTGTTGACTCCTTTCCAGCTCCAACAGCACCTGGGGGGCCCACGTGGGAAGGGCCCCCCCTTGTTCATCAGTTTGCATTGCTCCTCCTGGCGCTTTAGAGAGTACCAGCACTGCTCCACTCTACGGCAATCGTCATTCTTTGCTGCCTGAAAAAAAAATGAGAATGGATTACATCTCAGCTTGCTTTTGCTCAATACAGCATTTTGGATTTTAAAGTTCTCCCTCCATTTCTTCAACAGCTACTTAAGATACCCCTCCATGTTTTTTTTTTTTCTCCAAGAAACAGCTAAACGAGGTCCCTGGATCAATTGGCTTCTAACTACTGAATGGCCTAGAAAGGCAGCATGACTCCCATTCTCTCCCATTTGCGATTTTTCCCCATGATCCCATGACACTGACCCTGCAAGATCATTTAAAGTGTATTTCCAGTCATGAACTAGGCACTGATGTACAGTATTGCTGCAGATTTCCTGTCCTCCAGTCCTTCAGTTAAGAAACTAAAGCTGTGATCTACAACTTTTCCCCTCTCTCAAAGAGCTTAGCAAGCCATCTGGACAACATTACTCACGTTCTTCCTTACTTACTGTAAATATGGCATAAACGCAAATTAAGCAGAAGAAAGGAAGCAAAGATAAAGGTAAATGAAATCTGATGATTGAAGATGGATGTAATACTTTTCCCTCCTATTTAAGTGCAGTTGAAATAGTCTTCATTTCAAATTTTAATCTTTAGAAATATTCTTAGATTACCTTGGATGTTGCAGCTGTCAACAGATTTAACTTAGTAAGACAGTTGACATGAGGACTTTATAAATGAAGATTGTATTTTAAAACTGAAAAGCAGACTAGCTCAGCTTGTTTGCTCAACTTCCTGATGCCAGTAAAATAGGATACTTTACAATGTAAATAGATTACACCTCTTAAGGCTATTGAGCAACACAGAGTGTGATAACAGCCTCCAGCAGAACCTGATAAAAACAGGGCCTGTAACCGAAGGCGGCAGAATGATCAGTTGCTGTTCTCATCAGCAGACTCGTATGGTGACAATACTGCTTTTACCATTCACACATAAAAAAATATATTTTACATTTAGATGTAGTATATATATTTTAATATTTATACATTAAATTCAAAATAGTCACATAAGAAAGATATACCCTGTATTTCCCTCTTGGGGATGACACTGTTTCATTAATTAAACATTCAATTCTAGATAAATAGAAATTGATTAATGAGAAAGCAGGGACTTACTTTATAAGACAGATCATTATATAGGATGCGTGTGATAGGACTGGTCATTGTGATAGGACTGGACATTTTATATAAAGATATTTTCTGTTCAAGTGTTCAATATGTAAGGGTTTGAATTTCAAAGGGAAGACTGTATCCCATATTATTAAAAAATAACATTACCTGCTTCTCATTTTTGAGTTAAAAACTCAAATTACCATGTGCACACACTCTGTTTAACATTGAGATGCACTGCGAAAGTGTAACATACAGTATGAAGAGACTGTGAATAATGTGAAGAGACTGAAATTCTTATACTGCACTTTAAGTGTCTGAACAAGTTCCCTTTCTTTAGGTGAAGGATTCATAAATGAAAATATCTGGAAAAATGTATGAATGGAAGACTGGGAGATGCAATGCAATGACTAGCCCAGTGTGGCATATTTTACCTGTGAGGAAATACAGTATTTGCATTTGCTGTCAAATCTGTGCCAGGTGTTTTATTGCCATTATATTCTAAGACATGTGGGTTCATTAAAACAGGGCAGGGATCTTTATTTGCCTAAGTAAATGCATAATTGCTTAACAGTGCACTGAAAAATAATCCATACTACAGTATATTGCCTTGATGAGTTTATCAGCTCATGATAATTCATTTCCTGGCATCTCTGTATAGAAAATCAGTAAATATATTGATTAGGAAACTGTCTCATACAGTACGTTTAATGGTAAAGTCCAAGTTTTGGGTGAATATGACATGGAAATGAAAAATGCTGGTTTCTCTGCACAGATGTTACACCATTTTCTTATTTATTTAACCAAATGTTGCAATACCTTTATCATCATCCAGACATTTTCTGAACCCCACTTGACCTTGGTAAGGGCAGTGGCCACTCACAGCTTGTTCTGACACCCTGGATGAGACCAGTCTATCACTGGTCGCACGCCCACAGGGACCAGTGAAAAAAGCCTGTTAACTAGCTGGTACAGTATGTCTTTGGAAAGCGGGAAGAATTAGAGCACCTGGAAAAACCACATGACCACGGAGAAATCAAGCTAATTCCACACAAAGCACCCAGTCTAGAATTAAACTGGGCACCCCCGACCTATGGGATGAGAGTGCTATCCACCTTACTGCTTTATCATCCTGTTTGTTTTTTCTGGCCACGATGTATTACTGCATATTCTGAGAAAACAAATAGAATAGACAGAAAAGTGACAGTGCTTTTTCCAGAGGTAATCAACCGGTCTTGTTTTGGTATTGGTATTTGGTTACAGAACTTCCAGTTATTTCAAGCAAGCCTTTTTATCTTTTTTTAGTACCATTATCTCTATTATTTTATTGTTCGTGATGCCTGGGAGGAAAGAAGCTTAAACGTAAAGCACAGGAAAATTATGTTAACAATTAAATAATATTAAAATTATATTACATTCCACCAAATCCAAAACACACGGAGAAGAGGTAGACAAGCTGCTGATGCACAGTAGATTGCAGTTCAAGCTCTACAGTACATTAAAGGGCCATAGCTTAAATCACTGGAAAGCTGCTGATACTTAGATAGAACTATGCTGTTTCTCAGTGGGAGGTAATGTGTTCATGAGCAAAGTGTGGGAGTGCTGTTTCTGGAGCTGCTTTGGTTACGGAAAGAGGAATATTGCTCCTGTCTCTTCTAAGTGCAGAACTGACTTCTGTTGGCTGTAGCTAAAAGCTTTTTGAACAGGAAAATAAGAGGGTCATCAGTATAGTATTCAATGAGAAGAATTTAACCACTAGTTAGACCATTTATTATAGTCAATACACTAAAGGTAAATGCTTAAATGTTTGTAAACGCTGACATTTCTGATGGTCTACAGAAAATTAAAGGATCAATGTAGTCAGTTTTGAACCATGTTGTTTGTGGGGAATATGCTAGCTTCCTTATGTATTTACCTCAGTACAGAAACAAGACAAGTGACTGATGGGGTGATTAAACAATAGAGGTGAAACTGACACCCATTGCATAAGCATTTCTTTTGTTTTAATTAAAATATTTTCTTATTAACATATTAAGTTATGGAAACCAAGCTTCTCTGTGCTTTGTGTGTTAGATTTTGGCACTGTTATATAAGCACAGAATAACGGAATCCGAATGAGTTGGACCTCACATTCCTCACATAGAAAGGAACATCAAGTTGCAGAATCATGGCTAATCATGGCTTACGGGTGCTTTCTCACACACTTCAGCAGGGCACCTACAAGAGACAATTCCTGTATTCTTTTTTCAAAGAATCAGAGTGAGGAAAACAGATCTGAGAGAAACGTTAGAGAACTGTTACCATACAATGGTGTCAACCACATGTCAAGCAATTAAAATCCTCAAAGTCAACTTCAGAATTTGTAGTGACGCATCAACCAGAGGACACAAGAGAACAAAGAGGTACTTTTTTACACAGAGGATTGTGGGAGTCTGGAACCGACTGCCCAGTAATGTTGTAGAAGCTAATACACGGACCTCTTTCAAGAAACACCTGGACAAAGAGCTTACAAAGGAGAGGAGGCCATCCGGTTTAACTAGCCTGTTTGGTTAGATAATTGAGGATGAGCAACTCAATTAGGTACTGGCAAACAAATGGGCAGATTTGACTCTTGCTTTTGGCATTTCTTGTTTTTAAGCTACATAACACAAAGGCCGATTCACCATAAACTGTACTAACAATAAGGATTTTCTGCGATTTTAACTCCCATCAATGACATAAATAAATGCTGATATATGGAAATCATTCTCATAATTGCTCCTGCTGCTGATCCAGTCTGTCAACTTAGGGTACAATATGATTTCAGTAAACTCTAACAGCAACACATTCAAGCAATATACTGTAGTTGTAGTATGCAGTCAAAAAGAATTCTACATATAATCTCACCACTACAGTGTACCGTATATACAGCAGAAAGGTCTTAAGCATCAACCAGGGGATTCAAATTTCAAAGACAGACTTCAGAGAGAGGGAAAGAAATGTGCTTGCTTTTTTGTGTCCGTAATTTTAAAATTAATTATAATTACGAGGTTCTGTGTCTCATTAAAACATTGCATAAGAACATAGAAGTTGAAAACTAGAGACCATTGGGACCATGTAGTTCAGTACTCGTATTTCTCACATTTAAGTGACATGAGGAAGCTGTCCAGCAATTTCTTGAATGAAGCCAGATTATTGACTTAAACAACATGGCTGGGAAGATTGTTCTAACCTGTACCTTACAACCATTTGTGTAAAGAAATGCTTCCTGTTTGGAGTATTGGCAACTGTTAACAGAGAATGATGATCATTGCTTTAAACAACTTCTCAACATTATGATAAGCAAAAGGGTTAACAGAACAATATAATAAAAAGCTTATTTTATTAATCTACAAAAAATATCTGAATAACTTGAATACTTCTTTTGTTATGCACTTAAATCTAGAACAATGAAGACACTTTTTATTACACTTTTGAAAATTAGGAGAGAAAGTCTTATGTAAAACTTTTACATAAATGCACAGATTTGTTGGTAACAATTTCAATTTCCTTTTGTGTGCCCTTAAATTCTCACTATTTCTGGATCTATGGACACTAAAAAAATACTGAAAAAAAGTCAAAGTGGATATATAAAATATACCTCATAGAAGTAGATGACAAAACATTTCACACCTCCTTTTAACAAAGTATTATTCAAAAAACAAATATTTCAAAAAAGCAATGAAGTAATGAAGGAATGTGAAATATAAAATTAACAAGAATATCTTAAATCATACTGTTTAAATGTAATGGGCCCTAATGATGGTGTAATACCATTTTCACCAAAGGGTTCTTGTTATCTTGGAGGTGTTTTGTGAACCAATCCTTACATCCCAGACACTAACACCCACTCCACTCTCAAATTTCCCTCTTCAATGTTTCATGAGAGGCTACTGTTACTTTGTCACTGTGAGTCCACCAGGTCTGCATCTCATTACCTGTCACTCATGGGGAGCAAGTCCCAGTGATGATGAAGCACTGAGCATGCAGAATGGGACTTGGGACAGCTCTGAATAATTTTAAAGCAAACTAATAAGCATGACCCCCGTGACATGACCAGAACTCTTCTCATTAAGCTTGATAAGTGTCTACCCACGTAAAGTAAAAAGTCAATTTAAACAGACAAAAAGGAGGACATATTCTGAATGAATTTTGAAGAAAGGCTAGCTGTAGAAAATGTGCAGGGCTAATTCTAAGTTGCAAAATTAAACTAAAAGGCTACTTTAATTGTATATGGCACCAGCGTGAATCTGTTTCAAAACAGGATCATATCTGTTACAAAATTCTACAATGTGACCCACATGGAAAATGTGATCATTTTCTAATTATTCATAAATGATTGATTATATCATCAATGTATATGGAAGGAATGTCGATATACTATTATTTGTTCAAGCTTTTCTTGTCTGTTATTAGTAAATGATCTTACCTGTGCGCAGGTATCTTGCGCCTGTACTCTCCCCTGCTGTCACTGGAGCTGCTGCGTGCTGCTGAGCTCCGTGCTGAACTGTCACACACTCAGGGCTCACACTCGTTTGTTAGCACTCGCACGGTTGTCATGGGCAACCAAGCCAATGTCAGCCCCCCCCCTGCTGGCTGACAGGTACCTAGCGCACACCTTCACAGCACTCCTCTCTTTTGCCCTCTCACTCACAAGACACAAGGCTGCACATTGGCCTGAAAAGGCACAGGGGTCTTTAAAACTGTTTTCAACCTAACACAGAGAAAATGGGAATAAGAGTCATAACTTGGTGGAGGGATTCAAGATATAGTTCAGATTAAATGAAATGGTCCTGGGTTGGCAATGACTGAGAATAAAACAAATGAATCCCTTGTTTAAAATTGACAGTATTGGTTGGCGTACTTCCCGTTATAAACATTTTCACAATATCTGAACTATGTGAAACTTTTGACAGTTCTATTAATTGGGTTTCTAATGTAAACTCACCTTAGATAAGGGCATCGGCTGCATTGAATAAAACAATAATAATGGCGATCACCCAGTTGTATTTGGGTATGGACAGGGATATTTGACACTGGGAAATGTCTGATAGCTGCAGCTTGATGGCATCATCGTGTTGTCATGCCACACACACAATGATCACAACAACTTATTGCCTACATTCTCATGTAGCTATGGAAACAGAACAATATGCTTTGACAAGACATCTAAACTCTCCCCTGCCTAGATGTAGCCTGTCTTCATCTGTTTCCATACAATGGCCGGCTTAAGGGTCTCGGAACTAGATATTAAAGAAGCCGATGATGCTTGGGAGTTTGTAAAGGAAAAGGTAAGGTTATCATGGATAACTTGAGAAAAATGGATGTCATTCAGAGGCCATTATTATGCCTAGAATATCATCAGAATGACACAAATACAAACAGTTGCAGATCAGCTTCTTGCTATGCAATTATAAAAAATAAACAGGTCTTCTTGAACCTATCAAAACAGTGGGTAGAGCTCTGTACTGATGTGAGGTGAGTACCACACGGCTGCCTTACAAATGTTTGCAGGACACCTTAGTGGAAGAGCTGACTGTCATTCCGTGCAATCTGTACTGACAGATCTCCTATTATAAAGTGATTCTACAATACAGTCTTTTTAGTTCACACTTTTTTTCCATCTATTGTGAATTACTGTATGCTATTTTAAACAATGAGGGACCATATGTACAACAAATATATTCATGCAGTCTGACTTCGGGGCCTGCAATCTCAATTTTTACGATTAAAGGAAGAGTCAAGATAAGAGTTTGGAATTACCTAAACATTTCTAGTTACATAGTAGTGGAACTGCCAAAGACCCTGTGCTGTTTGTTGTTCTAGGGAATTATATTTGTCCTGTAACAGAAGTATAAACGCCAAAAAGCAAACCTAGTACAGCAACACAAACTGAATGGGCCACATGGCCTCCATCATTTGTAAGCTGTCTTATCACACTGACAGTCTTAAGTGCCCCTGCTATGGCACAATGAGACAACTCAGAGCCAGGATTCAGCACAAAGTCCACCCTTTGCCAGTTTTCTTGAGGTTTTTTTCTGTCACGAAGCCAAAACTGAACCAAGTCATGCAGCCAGACACAGTTCAGGAATATGGATCCAGCTGCTCTCTCCAGTGTAACTTCTGGGTCACTGCCTGCTATACCCAATATTACTTCCAGGTCACTGGCTGCTTTCTGGTATTACCTCCAGGTCATTGCCGCACTATGTGGCCCCCAGATGGCGCCAGTGCCCTCTCTCCAGGATGCCAAGCTCTACCAGCCCTTCTGTGCCATCGTCCAGCGCTACTACCGGGCTGCTGGCTCCCTGAGGAGGACCCGCCGGTTGTTCCCAGTTGGGCCCCTGCAAGAGCTGCTGCAGGAGCAGCACCAGAGCCTGGTGAAGATGGAGATACAGCACACAGTCCCCATCAGCACCAACTTCCACTGGGAGGAGGTGGTAAATGGCATCGGCCACGTGCAGGTGACTATACCCAATATGGAATGGCGGTCAGGCCTGGTCCTCTTGTCCCCTCGCACTATCCCACTCCGGACTGACCTGCAGTGGTGGAGGTCCGCACAGTGCCTCTATGTGGTGAGTGAGGTGTACTGCAGTTCATCACTGAGGCTGGGGGTTCGGAGTGACTGGGAACAAGCGGAGCTGCAGTTTAAGGAGGACACCCCCGTGGCCTTCTCCTGCCTGAGGTTTCCTCTGTCCAGCTCGGGGTTCCTGGGGGCCCCCGTGATACCAGAAAACGGCCTCCCACACGCTAAGGCACAGTGGGTGAAAACCTTCTGCTCGGAATACGCCTTTCTCCACTCCAACCTGCCTGTGCAGTCCTCCAGCCTGAAAGCCAGACTCTCGCAGATTGTAAGTGACTGTAAGTCCACAGACATTAAAAATCACAAACGTTCACATAAATCACACGCCCACCATGGAGATGCAATGGTTATCAGGTGTTAAAAGTTTCATGTCCAAAACTTCTGCCTCTGAGACCTTGTACACTTAAAAAATGTCATAGTTTAGAAGTTCCTTTGCTTTTATTACCTTGCTTCCCCCTGGTTTCTCATTGTTTGTCAAATTTAACCTGTCTGTGCTGTCATCAATAATGCTTTTATTATACTTACTGCTCTTTACTTATCTGTTCTTTCACCACAGCCTCTTGTGTACTCACTCTCCTGACACATCACGGGCATCAGAACTAATAAAAAACTGGCCTAACATACAGCATACTGCACAGAAGAATTCTGATTTGCTTCAATGAAGTTATTACAACAGTGACTTCATGTTTACTTTAGAAACCATATGAACATATTCTTTTTCTATTTTTCAGTTCATTCTCACCTCTTTAATACATCAGCAGCTTTCAGATTTTCTTCTAAAGAAGCACCACTTGCTATGAATTAATTGTATCTTAATTAACCTTCAATTAGAACACCACACAATGGATTCAACTGACAAATGTTCCCATTACAGCGCAGAGAACTATATTCCGGGGCAAGGTTAGTTAGATTGTAAATCAATATTTCCAAGCTGTCGAACAACTACAGTTACAATGTGGGGCTGCGAAACCTCTTTGAGTTCTGCAGAAGCATTACTTTCCCACTGGCGCACGAGATTCCGAACCGGTGTCTATTTGAGCCTGCCCAGTGTGACCTGGGCAACTGTGCTCCGCACTCCCGTAGCTGACAGCTACTGACGAAGCACAGGAGAGAAGACCTTGCAGGGTCACACCAGTTTGCATCAGCCAAAGAAAGATATGCAGTCATAAACACTTAAAAAACATTTAGAACATTTTTCCTTTAGTTTTGTTTTTTATGGCATGGCTTCAGGTTTCATCTTCTGCTTGTTTCAAACTAATTCGCAAATACAACTTCTAATGGTTCTTTGGCAGACCAGGGCTGAGCCTTTTTTCTGTAGTACTTCTGGATTCTTTTTTCTGTGGCGACACATGTTAACAAATTCTACAATCACATCACATTCCCCTTTGGCCCAGTTACTACTGAGCCACTTTTAGATTGGTTGTGGGGCTGGAATTTTTAGGTAGCATTTTGGAGGAATTAACCCACTGACGAAACAAAAATGCTGTACAGTACCCTCAGGGTGCAGGTGACTCAGTAGAAAAGTCACCTGTCTATTGAATTCTTTCTCTTTCGTTATGTGTGAACCTGCACAGGCCGCCCTTCATTCTCCTGGCACTCCAAGGGCACCGTCAAAGATGAGCGGGACATGGAGGAGCTGCGCTCTGCCTCCAAGCCGCTGCTGTCAGTGTTGGGCGACTCTGATGAAGACGTGGGCTGAAATGGGCAGCCACAACGGGCTCCCAGCTGGTCTCGCCAAGGCTGCCTCTTGTCGAATGCACACCTGCACAGTGACTAAACAACTAATAAACCAGTGCCCAGTGGGGACTGTTTGGTTGCGTATCTCTTTTTGCAGCAGGAGTCATTTTAAGGGTTTTGGAATTGCTTATCTTCAGAGGAGTGGGAACCAGATACCCAAACAACCTGATGCAGCTGCTGGGTCCGTATTTAAGCCATGGGGATCTGTCCTTCAGTGTCGCTGGGTTATTACACACACTAACATAGTGAGAGTTGAACAAAAGCAATCAGGGAAGAAAAACATGAAATAGGTTTTCCAGGGTGATGTTCCCGGAATAAGAAAAATGTGGTGTTTGAAACACAATTATCAGGGATGATTGTATTGAGCATCCAAACTTTCATGGAGATTGTGTTGAAATTAGTCTCACTTAAAGTCATAGTCATTTTATTGTATGCAATGCTTCACATGTGGTACGGTATGTACTATAAATGTGTACATTTTGTTTTTCCTTTTGAAAAATGACCATGAATGTAACATTATTCTAGGTTGATGAATAACCATTTTCATTTCTTTCTAGAGTAGAAACACATTTGCCTCCCCATTTGTGTTCTCCAAAACATGAGGAAGGACAGGCTCCAAATATTCCTTTTCACCACTACAAGTGTCTTAGCCATTGTTCTTAACAGAGTGAATTCTCAGAAGCCTTGTGAACAAAGGCATTTGAGATGATGGGGGATGATTATTATATTACCTTGTGCAAAAGTCCCAATTCCATATATGTTAGTGGAATCAGCAAATTTACTAGACAGCCGACACCCCCCCTCGGCTGTGCAGGTGTTATAGCAAAAAAAACAGTGGGCTGCCTCCACGCTTTCACAACTTCCTAGTCAAAGTCTTCAGTATATTATAGATGAGCAGTTTTTTGTTGGAGATTACAAAGACAGATTACAGTCAATCAGAATGGACAATATTATTGCCAATTATTGGCAGTGCATGCTATTTCCAAATATGAGCAGCACTCTGTATATATTGTACTGTATCTTAGCAACAGCAATGAGCCAATCCTCCCTCTGCTGGTGATGCATTAGTACAACAGGCCACCTATGACAGTCCAAATGGATACAGAGAGAACCTGCAACCTGTTCTATCTATCAAGCTCCTAGGTGAATGCCATATGACAACGTGACAGTGTTGTTTCAATATGGAATGGTACTTGGCTCTCATTTTAATGCTACACTGAACACAAATCACTGAGATTGTGCAGACTTTATTTCCAAAATCCATTGTCAAGCAAGACTGTAAGGAGCTCAGAGGGGGGCTGTGGGGCATTCTAGAGTAGAAATCAGAGCAAGCAGAGCGAGCAAAAATGATGACAGACCAGACACGGCACACACTGACATATGCTATACAACAAACCTGATATCTGTCCTGAGAATCAGCAGGTGTTGTTCATGGGATGAGGGGAAGGAAATGTCCAAGGATTTCGTGGCAGGGCAGATTCCCATTCAGTATGTCAATAATCAGGGTCTCTCTGACGATAGCAGCCATTAAGGCATGCGCTCCTATAAATAATCCTATAAATGGTAAATAGCTGACTGTTGTTATCAAGTCATGTTGTAATACTTATACCACTGTGGCTGTGATCAGATGCTCTGACATTACTTCTGAACCTGGCAATCTGCTGACATTCCCCATACAAGAGATCAATTCCTCCAAATTGCTTCCTCATGGAATAAACGGAATAAATAAGCAAGCCATTCTGGGAAGGCTAAATGGGCTCTTTCCAAACCGTTTGATGCTGACAGAAGCGGTCAGAATGCAGCTGTCCTGAACGGAATAGCTTGTCATTTTTGGAAAGAGTTTGATGACCAACAAGACTGGTCATAGTCACTAATGCTCTGAAGGTCACAACACCCTACAGTCAGCCCAGAGCCCCCAGAATGAAGTCTGGAAAGACATGCTCTGAGGCTTCCACTGTCTGGGGTGCACTATTCCAAATACGATGAAGAGAATGGAGCAGTACTTTAGATGGCATTTACATTAGTTCATTATACAGAATTAGCTTGATTGGAAATCAAAAGCTTTAAAAAGTATCCAGATATTTCAGGTATTTTTAACAACAGTTGGGATATGAAAAAAGAAAACGTGCAATCAAACCCACTTTACCTTAAACACAGAGCCAGATTTTAATTATGATAACACAAGCTGAAATGGGTATTAAAATTTACCCCTTATAACGTTTTTTCAGCTAAGGTGATTTTTTCTTATTACAGGTATTTATAAAGAACCAGGTGAAAGTCCACTGCAGGTTATTGTGGGGGAGATAACAGTTTTTAATTAGCTTTAATTGACACATGTCAGGCCAGCCTCACTGTTCCCAGTGTCACGCCCTCAGAATGGTAGAGGAAATGAGAGGAAATTCTGGGGGCCACAACAGAACAAAAAAACCCCACCAAACACTTTCAAAGCTGGGAGCAGCGATAGAGACCCACACACAGAATTATTGCTAAGTCAAACATTTATAAATTAATAAAAACATTCCCTTTGTTTCTTACAGCTTTTCACATCAGAATCGTTTAAAATTTTAAATATAAAAATACTTCTAGCAACATTCATTTGTTCTTGTTTTTCTTTTCATTTGTATACATTATTTACAGGTTACAGAAAACGCACCGTGAAATGTCAGCATGAGCAGATACATGATCAAGACACCGAGTTGCATAGATTCCAGGAGAAAGAGCCCGACCAGCAATTTTAAGAAAAAACTGCAACTAAAAAGAAATGTGCAAATCAAACCAACAAGCCCAGCTCTCCTTCCCAACAATGCAAGTCTTAACAGTTATGATCACAATTCAGAATGACGCAGCAGTCTGATCCCACAGTGAATCTTGTCTGAACACAAGAAGCAGTGTTGCAGTGTTGTCCTCTCTGGTTTTATGTTTGTGCCCCATTGCAGCTCAGGACAGACAATAAAACCCTTCGAGAGGCTGGAAGGTGCCAAACAGGGAAATATGCAGACAAAGATTAACATTATTCTGATTGGATGTTCTCTTTCTACAGCATATCCAATTTGCAAAACAAAGTGATACTACAGGGGTATTATGTACTCCCACTGATAGCTGTAATGGTATGGAGACATGCAACTAAGAATAAGGAGATAAATTTGTTAAATTTCGGTTCTCACCGAAAGCATCACCCACCTCCTGGCTTTAATGACAAGAGTCACTGGACATTACACTGGGAAAATCAAGACTAAACAACTAGGGGTGCCCATTAGAACTCAGCTCAGACACATCTATAGCAGTCTCCTGAACCAAGACCGGATGCCTCTGTAAAAGGTTTTTCAGGACCTTCTTTCATCAAAGCATCCTTGATGCTAGTACTCCATTTGTTCTGCCCAGCACCCGTTTCGCATGCTTCTGGAACTCAACTGGTCAATGAGACTTCAATAGGACTTCCTGGATTTTAACATTAACTGGAAGGTGCTCTTGAAACATCATGTGGTATTCATGAGCTTACTTCCAGGTCTGGTAAGGGGAAAATATCCAGAAAGCCTAGACTGGTTTTCTGGTATGTTAACCAGTGAAGCCATTGCAGTGTTCTGCCATCTCAATCTATCTTTAATCTATTTGTTCTGTTTGCAAGTCTTCTCTGATACAGTTACCTTGTTTCAGTCATGGGTGCAATTTAATTTGGACCAGAGGCTTTGGTTTGAAGATGTTACTGGAATTGATCACCATACCTAGTGTTTTCACATCCCAGGTTCAAGCTGTTTTCTACCATATTTCAATCTGAACTCAATTTACAACTTTCAGACATTTCTATTTCAGATGTGCATTATATACCTGAACAAAATACCAACCCTTAAAATCAAAAGCGGTCAGCCAAACCCAGTCTGAGCGCTGAACAATTTACAATTTGAATTTTACCTGCTGAAAGCTAACAGCACCGTTCCGAAGAAAAAAAAACAATTTCATTTAGGAAACTTGATTGCGGTCATCTTCCTTTTCTTGTGATATCAGAGTGCAAATCGGAGCGATTACAAAGACATCCCTGTCTCCTGATCTGGGGCCACAGAGGACAATAAAATGACAGTAATCCCTTCATTTACAGAAACACAAGTTACCGATTTTCAAAATACAAAAACGGAGTCAAATTTAAAAATTTAAAGTAAAATTTGTCATGACAGAAACCTGCTTATTCAAAAACTCACATGTACTGTATATTTAAAAATATATACAATACAAAAATGCATGATATGTTTAACTTCATTAAAAAAACTTTAACCTTTTTTTAATCTTTAACTTCACTCCATGCATTTATTTATATATATATAAGTGTAGCAATGCAAGACATGCACAATGACTTATTAAATGTAAACAAAATAAATCTGCATTTATTGATCTGCATGTTCAGAATTGTATAATCATGAGCAGTCGATGTTAACATATTGGTATAAATTGTAACCACCGCAGTAGATGTATAAATAGTTCTTCTACATACACAAAACATGGAAGAGGCAATACGGTTGGATGCTAAACACTTTTGCACCGGAGAGGCATCAAGACTTTAGATGTGATCAAAAAGCAACCACACGACAGAGGACTATGATAAAAGAAAAATCTGCGGTAAGAATCTCTTTTCAGTGCTTGAGCCCCAAGATGTCTGGTGTGTACAGTTTGATAAGAGGTGAAAAGCTAAATGACACTGCAGTAGTTTAGGTCTTACAACAGCAATAAAGAAATGTAGTTCAGGTGGGTAGCTGTGTCAGCATGCGTAGTCTGCAAAGGAACAAGTAATAGGTTTACTCCATGCTGAAAGAGAAGAGAGAAAACACAACGTTGTTTTCTCTCTTCTCTTTTCATCATGGAGTAAACCTATTACTTGTTCCATAAAGAAATGCAGTACACATTGCATATTATGTGTATAAAGTACATCACAGGGCTATGATATTGTTCTGTACGGGCATCCCTACCATTTACAATGATAGAGATTTTGTCCCGCAGAAGCATATCCACTTAATAGACAATGGGGATTTAATATAAGAAGGGTATTTTTTTTAAATGCAATGCTTCCAGAAATTGAGGGTTTTCTGTAGCTGATCACCGACGCCTGCACAAAACCGAACAGAAGTGGAGTGAGGACAGCGGTCACTGCCAGATCATGCCAGGCTGGTTACAGCACAGCTGTCTGCGTGAAGCCGGACAGACAATGAGACCCTGAGTGAAGCTCAATGAGAGATCCGTGAAAATCATATTTACTGTAAATAGCCATAAAAAAACACTGATTGCACACATTTAAAATCGGCAAAGAAATTGATTCATTTCTAGAATCATTTTTAATATATATATTTACAGAACCAACAGAGGTGTTCTTGCCTTCTCTGGGCAGATCCATACATATGATCTGGGCAGCCAGGGTCACACGGGGGTTTGGGGGAGCAAACAAAGTGTTCCCGTCACAAAGCCCATTTTACCAGGATATACTAATATGTGTGAAGGAGAAATCTAAAGAGGTACCAGTATGGCAATTGTTCCGTGCATCCATCAGGTTTATTTATGAGCACCTTTCTCTAAACTCCACAGTACAATCGCCTGTACTTTCAATCCTCTACATTGTAACTGTTCGCAACATTTTACTGTACTGAGTGTCTGGTTAACTGCACCCACCCCCACAGTCTACTGCACATGTTAAATAAAGGAGTGAACATGTAATCTCCAGAAAACAGCGTGATCCACGGCTTCTTGTGAAATCAGTGTGAAAATGTTTGTGGGCTATATTACAGCCAGAGCCACGTACTGCTGCTGGGCTTTAAAACTTTAAAACGAAATCTCTCAAATAAAATATTGCACCATAATAATCACACAAGCACATAATAACAATCACTTTATCACAAGCAGTGGGTGACAACTGAAAGGGAAACAAGCGACCCCACGACTCAAACTTTAATCAGATCATCTGCACTGGCAAACCCATTTCTCTATCCATGCGGCACCAGCAGCATCTTTCCTTTCCTGCCCAGAAGAGGAAAACAGGCAGACTCCTGTCTCTGATGTCTCCCTCTCGCCCACTGATTCATTAACATCTTCTCCAGAGCATGGCCGTCGCTTACTTTTGGTTGTTTTGGCCTCATTCAAGTCTAGTTCGTATCAATCTGTCTTTACCCTGGGATGCTAAACTACATTTCCCTGGGAAAAACACTACAAGCTATAGTAATAAAGGATGTCGAGCAACATCCTCTGGGTACCCAGGATAGTTGTCCTCAGCCTGTTAAATGGACCATTCCAAAAACAGAGTAAGGAATAACAAAGTGAACCAGAAGAAATCCTTTCTCCGCATGAAGAAGCTTAAACACGCTTAAAAAAAAGAGAGCAATCTTTGAAAGCTTTTGCCCGAGAATGGTTTATGAAAGAGGACATTTAATTTATTATTTAACCTAGACGCCCTCTATTAACACTTACGTATCTTGAGTAGATTAATTAAATCTTATAAGACCATTTGTTTAACTTTGGGAAAAATTGCACAAAATAGAGAGAATTAATGCAATCTATTAAATCATTTGATTACAAAAGCTTTATATTACTCTAACAGTTTTGATTCTGATTAGGAATAAGAAACAGTTGCTCATTGGCATGATGATTTTGACTGATTTACTAGTTTTTTTCACACAATGTGTTAATTAACAAAGCACTGTAAGCAATTCCTCAGGTTGAAGAGCTAATCATGTCTGTGTCATTTTTAACCTTTTCCATAAGAACCCCAAGCCAAATGCTACAACAGCTGTTATGTGCAGCCTCACACATGACATATTCCTTATCCTTATTTCTAGAACTGCTTGAGGAGAGCTAACCAAAGACACCATTGATTAAATCAAAGCAACACAGTAATTATAATGGGAAGAAGCCCTGTAAGATCTTCTACGACCAGACTTATCAAGCACTTTACCAAAATATACATTACAACGAGCAGGGGTTTTTAGAAGGTAAATGAAATGCTAACAAATTGTGAAAATCATTGGCAGCAATGGATTGGAACTCATGAACAGTAAGTACTGAAAACTACTAATCTCTTCTGGAATAACCTATAATAATTTCATATAACACATATGGATCTAAATGCATTACATACGGTTCAGTACAGAAAGAAAGAGGTAAATACAGAGCTCCAAGAGCTCTGTGGAGCTGGCAGATGCAGATTTCAAGGATGTTATCTGTGGAAGCTTGGGACGGACTGAGAGTCTCAAACTGCTTTTGTGACTTGCCCTTAACAAGTGCAACTCTGGATGTTTAATCGCTTGCATTGAGCTGGCACATTAAAGTAAAGGATACTAATTAAAAACATTTAAACACTGAAACATAAAAGCATGAGCTATCTCTTATACCTTCTGCAGAATAAAAATAGGAATCCTTAAAACATTTAAAAAAAGACCTCTAATCGAAAACACTGCAATGAAAAACTGACTGATTTTTTTATATCTGTTAGCCCATATTGACTGTCGGGAGCATAATGATGGTCTACGTGGGTGAGGAAAAAAGAAGTCAAGCTGCCAGGGCTGATTTTTGGACATGAGACAGAGCCCTCCTGTCGTTGTTTAACTGTGGGAAAGCAGAACTCAAAGAGCTGCACCACCCAACCCGTTCACACTGTGGCAGGTTACAAAAGACACTGGCGATTCCAAACCAAGGACAAATGAAGCAATCTTAATTATACTATGTGCTGCACCGTGTACTTGTGAGCCAGAGGATGTGCCAGTGTAGTGTACAATACAATATGGACAAAAACCGTTTCTCTCAAGTGCCTGACCCATTACTCTCCCACATGAGAGCTTGGCATAAGCCTATGCACAAGAACTAATTTCCACATACAACAGGCGTCAACATGCAGACAAGTCAGACCCACAGTTCAACTAACAGTTTCTGCTGGTTTTGGCAAATGGCTGACACAGGTGTAAAACCTGCCATTTCAACTTCACAAACTTGGCACTTTGGTTTGCAGGATCAAATTTCACTATTTAGAGCAGATAAACAGCAACTGAGGAGAATTCCCAAGATGAATATGCATCACCTACTGTATATGATGAGGGTAGTGTCGGCTACAGTGGCTTAAAAACAGGCAAAAGGTGATTATTCTCTTAGTAACACTGACTAGTATAAAAAACAGGGAACATCTGCACAGCAGATAGGTTTGTTTCAGGTTTTATGAACTGTATATTCGTATACATAATGTGCTATATACATACAGACTAGAAGCTGGATATTTCAAGTTTATTACAATAATTTGTGTAGATTTCTATAGACCAACACACTACACATTAGTAATTTCACAGTTTTTCTGTGCTTCATCAGTAGTAGTGAGAGAGCAGTGCAGCACACAAAACCAGAAACAGATCACCTGCTGTGCAAGAGGAGTCTGTTGCCCTGTCAAGTTGCCCTGGAAACTAAAACATTTCCTTCCCTACTGTGCTAGAGAATAAGGTTTACAAAAGCAGAAGATGGGGGCAACAGTCTGAAAATAGTATGCTGGACGATCTTTTAAAAGACAGCAAGAGAAACAGAAACCAATCTTGACAACAACTGTTAAAAAGAAGAACAAGAAGGCAGTTAAGGTTTAAATAAAAAAATCAAACTTGAAATACCAAAGCTACACAAAGATACAGAAAAAGCACCCATTTGTGTTTTTATAATGGTACAGAACGATTCTCCTGAAACCTTTCCTGACCAGACACATGAACACACTTATATCTGGAAACATGGGAGAAGACAGACAGAAATGGGCTGGTGTCCAGTTGATTTGAGCAGTATTTAAAGATTTGCGAGCAGGAAGACTGTGTGGCTCTTGCTTGGAATCAGTCCTATGCCACTGATATGTTACGGTAGTGCTTTTATATTTGAAAACGATTCCTGCACGACTGGGCAGTGAACCAGTAGGCTCCACTTTGATAAATGTCTTCTGATAAACACTGCCCTCTTTCTCAGTGTCACTTCAGGTGTTTCAGTGACAGACGTGGAGGTAATGCAGAGAAGTGACTCTGTTGAGATGGCTGGTTCTATTCCCTGCTCCCAGAATGTGGCGAACCCTTTAGCCTCCTTGAGCTCTCACCTCTGTATTCATGTCCTTCCTTTCCTATCCCACCCCACAACTGCTCCCATGCCCCAGCCTCCACAACACACTGGATATGATTTAATTTAAATAGTGCTAACTGGAAGAATTTAGTTCCTACAGTGCCGAGAAAGCTGCAGGACTCTTTATGGATGATCACTTGTGGAGAAAACAGTGTTTATTACACAGTAAGATGTTACTGATGTTCTGCTACCTTTTCCACATTAAAAGCTACAGTACATATATCCATAAATACCATACACAGATGTACACTATCTATTGGCCAGTTCTGCTCTTTTCTGCTCTGCCTCTTCTGCTGCCCATTCTCGTCCCCATCACCAGAGGTCTGATGCCAAGGAACATCTGGGTTCTGACACCCTCCATGAAGCATATTTCAGATTTTACAACAAAATGCTGTTGTTTCGATTACTGCAGATTGAATTCTCAATGTCGATTGTTTTAACTATTTCTGTAGTTTGTTTGTTTTGGTCAGTCAATTATGGTGACTTAAGGTCGTACTTTCGCTGCCAGCTAAATATAGGATAACATATACACTTGTGTTCTGGTAGAGCTGTGTGCAGATCCAGAAGAAGAAAGGACAGGGCTCTTTTCCCTACGAGCAAGACTATTACCACCAGCTATGGTTCTGTTCTTGAAAACCCAGGGGAGAAACAAGGCTGGAGAATCCACAGTTGCGAACATGGATTCGGTATGCAGCATCACCACCAAGTAGGATAGCTGATCTTGAATCCTGGAACAGACTTCTCAGCTTCAAAATGAATGGCCTGTTAAGCACTGGCCTAGAAAACATTTGAGTTTCATTAGCACCGACATTCTCCACCTTTGGACTCTTCACTTCAACTGACAGCAGCCTGGTGATCTGCTGAGGCTCAGCGGCTTCTTGAATTTTTCCACCCAGTCTTTAGGGGTACGAACCCCTTCTCTCTCCAGAACTCTCCAAATGCTGGATGCAGATTTTCAACACCTTCTCACGAATCACAAGGCTTCCTATTGGCACTTCTGACAGGATCTAGTCTTCAATCCAGCAGTCTCCATTTTCGCAAAGCTAGTGTCACCAACATACAGGTCACCAACACTTTGCAATATGCAAACAGGGGAGTCTAACTCCCATGGGCCTCCCCGCTCAAGGTTTCTCTATGAGCAGCGGGTCAGCCTCTTCTAATCTCTTAGGACACCGCACAAGGACCCAGTGTGGGGAGACTGAACAGCGTTCCCTAAGTATAACAGTTACAGCATGAAAGAGCTCATACCGGAAAGGTCGATGAGTGTGATGTGTAGGATAACAAAGGTTGATTTGAAATGAGAAGGCCATGTGAGTCACAAGTGGACACATTGCTTTTGTGGGTTTGTAATCCGGCAGTTGGCAAGGCATTCCTGTATGTCCCGCCCAACCTGTGTGCACATACACACATGTATAAAAACATATATAAACATGAATATGGATGTACAGCTCATATGCGTGGTTATATTTTTATCAAATGCGAGGCATGAGTTCACGGTCTGTGGAGAATTTTAAAATGGTGCCATCACCGACAGAATCGTTTTTAAAACGGTAAAGGTTGTACAACTTCTAGTAGATGTTTTCAGAGGAAGGTATCAAAGTAGTGCCAGTCAGCATTATTCAACTGTTCCCACAGCTCATAGACCATTCACACGTGTGACTTATTTGTTTCTACAGATACCGTTACATACTACTGTACCAAGGGCAGAAATGGACTGCCTTTCTTTACCTGTGTTTGCAACACAAAGGTATCTTGGTTCATTTTTTTGGATGAGTACTAGACCAGCTGTCTTCATTATCTGCAAAAAACACCTTGATAAACATTAGGTGGCAGTAACTGCAAGAATGATATACATTTATCTCTTTATGCAATACTGAACTTTTTTTTTTTACTCTGCCTATCTGGAAAATACAATACTGTGTGTTTTGGAATCTTCCTCAATCTTTGTAATAAATATCCCAACACATCGCCAGGTAGAGGGTGGCTAGAATAAGTTATCACATGTACTGTATCTATACAGTTCTAAAACATAGAAGTGCCTACTTGATATACACTATAAGAAATATTGAATATTCTATTGTTCCTGTTTATCAGTCAGGATCCAGCCAGTGATGTATTAGTGTATATATCACAGAAGAATTTAGTGAAGCTTGTGTGAAGTTTCCTTACAAATAAGGAAATATGTATTTCAAATCAAATAGCTCAATTAGAGAAACTCTGGAGGGAGGCAGGGTGCCACAGGTAGTGACAATACTAGGCCGAAAGGTGTACTATGTACACATGGAGGAGGGACTCATCTGGATAATGTGGATTGTGCAAAGGCTTTAACTCTATAAATGGCTGCATGATTAATGCATTGCCAAAAATTAATGCATTAAATTAATGCAGGTTTCACAAATCTTTATGAAGCTATTGCTTGTGTGGACAACTGTTAAGATATTATTTACAACTCCAATTTCAGATGCATTCTTTTTTACAAAAAGGTTTACAGACAACTTTTTTGCCCTTGGTTATTTACAGTTTATTGGCTCTGCATCTACATATTTAAATAAGAATCATCTTGACCTGCATGTCTATTTATGCATGTTTTGTATCAATATCACGTCTGTTCTTTTTTATTCACGTGCAGAACACACCACAAGACTGAATACAACCCTGACGTGTATCCAACTGATTGTCCTCTCATGATAGTAACTTCTAATAAAATTGATAAAAAATTCTGCTTTGGTCATTCTTTCAGTTTGCCTAGGAAACTCCAGGGAGAAAGAGGAAGAGTGCTCATTAAGACTTTGTCACATCCACAGTAACAGAACAAGTACATTGCAAAAAACTTGATGTCTGGTTACTTTCTTTCTTCCACTCTCCATACCAATTCCCTGGGTATTCTTGCATTTACTGCCAAAGCTACCAGGAAATTTGAACATCCTGCAGCATCTGTGTGTATGGCCCACTTCCTGCCTAAACAAACCTTTACAAAGACCTTTGCGTTCTTCTCATTTAACCTAATGCAGCAAACTGATGCCAACGCCACATGGCAAATGACCCCATGCAGCTCATTTCTGAATTGAATGTTGACCTCGCCACTGTTTTCCAGACGAACCAAATCCTGTTGTGCGGACAGGCTATCAGCTATCAAAAAGTCAGTTGGAACAGCATCTGCCTCCTGGTGCCCTCCTGGTGTGGATGGCTGGAAGAGCGTCACTCCTCTGTGCCTTGACTGCGGGGGAAGGGCATGGCTACTGCGTGCTCCTGCGCCAGCGCGGCCAGTTCCTTCAGGAACTCGCAGAACACGACCGCACAGTAGACGGCATTCTTCACCCGCAGGGCCTCAGTCTGGCGCTCCACGGAGCTCGCCGTCGAACCCCTGAAAAGGGCACTGTGCAGGACCTGTCCGCCATCCCGGACGTGGGCAAATGCCATCTGGGCTGCCTGACGGGCCCGGGTCGGGCTGTTGGTGTGGCGAAGGATCAAGTCACCAATAGAGGTTTTCCGGCTTTTAACTATAAGAAACAGACCAAAAGGACAAAACTTGAACCATGAATCATAAAAATAAAAAAGGTTCCCAACCGTTGGCACGGCTGACCCGGCTTCCACTGGAGAACCATACCTCCATTTCCAAACTGGAGATCCATACCATTGGAGTTTAGCTCTCAGGGAGGTAACAGTGCACCTCCCTTCTTGGTCTTCAATTTCTTAATGGACACGCTCTTGGGAGAGTGCACCCAGGGTGGAGGCGAGGCACATCCATCGCGAGAGCCAGCATGCTTCTCTATCCAGTTCCTAACCAGTCCTAATCCATCCGGTCTAAACCAGTTTAACCCTCTCGCGACCGAGAGACTATGCTTTACCAACCGCCGAGGGACTCTCTCCTTGTCTTTACCTATATAAAGAGACTGACTAGCACGAAGTGTGCTGAGCTTCTCCCACATGTACCTGAAGCCCTTCGGCGCAACCATTAGACCTTAACATGATCCTCCCAACTCCCCAGACAACCAAGAACTCAACCCTAGCGACGGCTGCCCTGTTCAGGGGGTCAAAACATCAGAAAAACTGAACAAAACAGTTAACGTGAAGAGGGAGTTTCTCAGCAGGTTTCTCACAGCCTGATTGAGGACTTTCACTTCACTGTACCTTATCTATAACTTAAGCCTCGGTAGCAAAAAAGGGGATTTAAGAAATGATGTCACCACTGAGAGCACGATCCTTTAATTAATTAGCAGTGGTTTTATAGTAGGTGCCCAGTACAGATCAGCAGACCTCAGTCCAAATTACAGAACTAGTGCCAACAAAACCTTTTTGGGTTGGTTTGTCTTTTAACAGTGGCTATTGGGGAAAAAGTTACACAGTTAACTTAAAGGTTTCTGCTCTAATGTTTAGTTGTCCTATAAGGAAGAAAGTGCTCATGACAATCACTTGCTGGAGTCAGATGTTTTGGTACAGCTTGTAGAAGGACATAGGCAAGGTCAGCAAACTTTTCCATTTTCTTTTGCATTTCCCTCTTACCTAGTGTATCAGACCGGCGCAGGTTTGGCACAGCCACGGGAGAGTCGGCCCAGTCTAGTTTCCCACGTGCCACCAGGTACCTCCTGGCTTTGTGAAGCATGGCTGGGAAGTTGTCCTGAGTTGCCGCAAAAGCTTCAATCCTGTATTTCACTGAGCCCAGGACCTGTGCATGCAGCAGAGAGAGCTCATCGCGTAAATAGGCTGACAAGATGATGACGGAATTTCACACAACAGGAATAGTATGATAGGAAAATCAAACTAAAAGGTATAACATATAAAAATACTGAAAGTACTGAAATACTGAAAGAGTAATTCAGAACCGTTCACTGCAAATTCCCATTAAGAAATTAAAACAATAAAATGCATGAAAATATTAATCGTTGTTGTCGTCGTTCACTATCGCCAGTCCACTGTTTGATGAAGGGCTCCCTCGGAATCGAAAATCATGGGAGAGCTGATAGCCGTCGGTCAGGCAGAAAAGGTAAAATGAAAAAAAAAAAGGCAGAAGAGGAGTACAGAGCACTGCTAAGCAAATGTACTAAAAGCCCCAGGCAGTTTAGAAACCTTCGAACATGAAGAACGGGTGGGTGTACTGGCCTGGCTGCAGCTAATAAAGCTAACAGGCTTGAACTGGCCTAACAGTTTCAAAATGAGCAGTGAAGAGCAGAAGGATGCCAGTTTAAACTTTCTGGGCCCACACACAGAGTGTGTGTGCAGAAAACCTGCTGCTCTTTGACCTCTCTTTAAAACTGAAAGAATAGTAAGAAAAGAGGGGTGCTGCAGATATCTCCCAAGCAAGCACAATAATAACTCTAAACGCTTCATGTCAAAAACTAGAAGGTCCTACAAAATTAAGCCTGGCCACCACAAACTTTTGATTGGTCTCCCTCACAGTGGCTCTGAGCACTCCCTTCAGCCCAGCCAGTCCTAGCCCACAGACCACTGCCCAGCTTGAAAAGCTACTTGAGAGAATCTGTAAAACTGCTTGCAAAGCAAAATGTGGTCATTTTGAAGCTAATGATTTGTTGTATTGTTTTAAAATACAACCAAGACACAAATCAGTTTAATTATAGGGGATAATTCAAAGATTTTAATTGTATTTGTGCGTGTGCTTTCAAAATATTGACCCACAGTACACACAAAATAAAGATTGCTTGAGGCTAAACAAGACTGTGAAAAGAAGAGAAATGATCTGATGATTTCATTGAAAAAAAAACTGATTCAATATGAACAGATACACATTCCGGATATTTTAAATCATTGTTTTCACAGTATTTGTCTTAAGTCAAATGATTACAATCGGTATGCTGTACAGAGCACAGATAAACCAACCCAACAGGAACAAAGGGTTAAAGAACTGCTGTACAAAAGGAAAACAGAGTAAAATATCAAGACCTTAGCAAGATCCACTGAAAGAAATGAATTTGCCAGATCAGACTGTTCAAGCACCATTTGAGCCTGCAAGATGACAGCAGTGCATGTGTCATCTCAGCCTTCTGCTGGAACACGGCACAGACACGCAGTCGGGAGGGGATGAGGGGATGTGCTGAAATGAAAAGCTGTGCGAATGGGGGTCCGGGCAGCAGGTCTGTGTAGCAGGAGAGTGGGGCGGAGGGCGTGCAGTGGGTTTCAGGCAGGTCCATACCTGGATAAGCGACTTGACGCTGGGCTGAAAGACCATGTTGGTATTTAGCAGGAAGGAGCGGAGCAGGGGTTGGGGGTAGCAGGCTAACTGTGCTAGAATTCCAGTGAGGAGGACGTTCACGTACAGGGAGTTCTGCAGCATGTTCTCCAGCTTGGCAAACAGCACGGCAACAAAGGGACCTGGGGGAGAAACAGGTGGGGGTGAGGCCGGGGGCACTGGCAGGGGGGTTCACGACGGTCGGCAGCTTCAGTTGTAGGAAGAGCATTCGTTTGCTGAAGACCTGCGCTGAAGCATGGGTCTTCCTTCCAGACAGATCTGGATACAGCGGTTCCCTCTGGCGTTCGAGATTCCATTAGAAGAAAGGCCTGTAATCTTTAACACAAGGATTACTGAAGTTTTTCTCGACAGTCAATTATATTTTCTAGGTGAAATTTTCCTATTCTTTTGGCCTTCTCAGTTTTACATGAAGCTTTACTTTTACAGAGTAAAAGTAAAACTTTACTTTTACTGTGCTTTTACGCATTTTCCCTCTTTAGGCTAACATAATTGAATCTAATTTACATAATTCTTAAAAAGGGGTTTAAATACAAAAGTATATTATTGTACTACTGACACCATGGATGCTTTGTTTTTCCAGGTCTAATAAAAGCCTTGGTTTTTAACGAACGCTTGGAAGCTCACCAAATTGTGTTTTTACATCAGCCAGCGGCACAACATTCACCCATATTCCTGATATCATAATTCACGTTTCACTCTGTTACCAAAAGACTGATTCTAGCATGAACTAGTTGTTATGCAGAATCCTCCTATGAAAACCACAGACTGACACATCAGGACTTAATCATTTTTAATGCTAGACAAGATTAGATTGGTAGTCAATGGCTAGTAATACATACACTTTTATGTGCTTCCTATCATTTTCGCTTAAAAGGAAATTTTTAACCTGTTTTAACCAGTGTTTTTCAATAAACAGCACATGGAAGGAACTTTTTAACCTGTTTATATCGCTGTCAATCAGAGGTCTGAATCACCAAGTCAAAGAAATACACTACAGTATATAGCATATCACAAAGCATCAAAGGAAAACATCAAAATTAAATGAATACTACTTGCCACTGATCCTTGCTGAATACCTGATGTGTGATTTAGTTTATTACAGGGGTTCACCACTCTGACCTTCCAGAATGGTATGGCAATTTGGTATGACTCAGCAGGGGTTTGAATCCCAACTCACAGAATGTAGAGTGGATACTCTACGTTGCTGCTGAAATCAAAATTACCTCCTGTTTATGATTTGCAAGGTCTCTCTTCACATTTAGATACCTCTAATGAAGTGCTGGTGGGTGTACTATTAATCAATAAAAAACACATTACACTATACACAGTACTGTCTGATATTAAGAAATAGAATAACTCTGCCCACTGACATAGAAGCACACAGTTGCTTTCAAATTTTATAAAATACAACACCAAAAGACAGTCACTGCTTAATTTGCTGAAAATACACTAACAGCCTCTTCTTGATTCACTGTTCGAGGTAGGATCTTCAGTGTTCTCTTACTCAACCAATACACAATGTAATAACCTACCATTAGAAGCTGGTGGTGCAGCTGCTTATTTTCATTATATGCAAGTGCACCCCAGAGTGGCAGCCAGCTGTGCATATCACACTCAGTCACCCACCTGTGTAGGGCTGGCTGACAGGCTGCCCCGGGGCACGTGTTGGGGTGCACAGAGCAGGCCCTGTGCTCTCTGGCTTGGGGTCTGCGAGGTCACCATCTGGGGAAGGAGCTCTCTCCTCGTCGTTCTTGTGAGCGGAAGAGTTAAGGGCGCAGTCTTTGGCGCTGCCGGGCTCCTCCACGGCTCTGGAGGCCCTCCTCTTTCTCACCGTCTCCTCCAGCTCCGTCAGCTCCTGGTTGAAAGCCTCAATGCTGATACCTGATCCATTGGCATCTCCCGGTACCCGGTCTAGTAGCTCCTCGATCAGGCTCTCTACCGACTCCAGACTCTGCCTAGCCACCGTCTGCTCACCAGGAAGAGACTCTTGGCCTTCGCCAGCCTGCATCCCCAGTGTGGCCTGACCATGAGGCTGAGACCCCTGAGAAAGAGCCTGTGTCCTCTCTTCGTGGCCCTGTGGCCCCTGACCCTGATACAGCCGGTGTGGTTCAGGCGGGCAGACGTCACCCTGGCTTTGGCCTGTGCAGTTCTCTCCGGGGTCAATCCGAACTTTCTTCACCTCCATGCCCCCGTCTTGCCTGTCCCGCGACTCTAACCCCGACTGCCCCGTCCCGTTAAGGAGGGGCTGCTGGCCCTCTGGCCCGGCTGGGAGCCTCTGCACCCTCTGGGCAGGCCCCGGGTGGAGGGAGGGAGGGGTGGGCTCGGGGCCTTCGCGTTGCAGGCTGCGCTTCTTGGTGCGGGGCGTCACGCTAATGCAGTTCTTGCCAAAAGTGATGTCCCATTCTCCGCTGTCACGCTCGGAGCTCTCCCAGTCCGACCGAGGCCGGCTGGGCAGCCCCTGCTGGTTAGAAAAGTGCTCTGTGAAGATGTTAAAGCCACTGGGTGGAGGGGGGGGAGGCGCCACACAAACGGGAGAGGGGTCCTCCCCGTCGTAAGGGGCCGACCAATCCCGGCAGGCCCAGGAGCACAGCTCGATGTTCCTGCGCGCGTCCCGGAGGTACTCCAGGTACCCCATCTCCGAGTCAGGCGCCTCCGAGGCCTGGTGCATGGGGCTGTCTGGCGAGAGCGCCCCGGTAGCTCCCCCGCTGCGGGGCGACTGAGGAGGCTCTGAACTGCCGCCGCTCTGCTGGCGCATGAACATCGCCAGGCGGGACGGGGTGCTGGGTTTGGAGACAGGAGACTCCACGCTGGGACTGCCCGGGCCTGCGGTCCAAAAGAGGGGAAAAAAAAGAGAAGCATGAAGATGAACAGCAAAATGAAAACCGTACTCTGTAGCATGCAGGAAAAGCAACATGTTTACTTGGTGCACAAAACCTACTCTGGCTTATTCATTCACAATGCAACGATCAAACACACGTTTAGGATTTGAATTTACAGTAGCACTTTGCCCCCACTTCCACTCTGCTGTGGTTATACTATACGCAGTGTGTGTCCGCTACTCATTTTTCAAGTTGTGATTAAGAAAAGTCAAGGGTAATCTATGTAACCATGGAGATACTGAACTCCTACACAGAGCCTCTGTGTGGACTCTGAACGATGAGTTTGTGAAACATGAGCATTACAAAAGCATACATACATGACAGCCAGCTATATATAACTGGCTCAAAATACAAGCTCTTAAAAAAGGAACCAACTTTCTTATTTCTGTGAAGTTCAGGATATATTATAATAATTTAACAACTGCAGAAATGAGTCACTATTTTCATGTACATGAAGTGTTCATGTACTGTACAGTATATACAGACAGTTTAAATAAATAAGACGACACTGAGGAAGTTCTAGACCACTCCTAAGAACATTAATTGTTTTGTTCCTCCTCTTATGTTAACTACAGTTTTTCTTTTTTAGGACCAATGCTCTAAAACAGTTTTTAAAAGCCTTTTCTATTAGTTGCTGAAGACCAGTCTTTATTGCAAAAAGTCTAGAAACTGGACACCTAAACATTCAAGGGGTAATACGCTTCTATCCTTGAAAATCCCTATACCCCTGAATATACCTCACCTTTGGCCCAGAATGTGGAATCTTCCTCCCGGTCACTAGGGGGCAATGTATCGAATCGGCAGCACTCTGGGATGAGGGACAGGAACTTATCTGCCGATTTGCCATAGAGATCTGGCTCTCTAATGGCACGCCGCTGGCTCAGCATGACATGTGTGCAGGGCAGCAGGTACCTGTCGAAAAGCAGCAAGCAATTCTCCCTTTTAACCCCTAACTCAGAATCATCTGCTGATAGAAGGCCATCATGTACCGAGTCCTGTTCTGTCCTGTTCCCATGTATTTATTAAAGGGAAGGCGTTTTCTTTTTACATGCATATGTATTTTTGAATCTCACAGCTGTTAAATTCAAAACTATTTGATATTAATGCCCAAAAAAAAGAATCAATGCTCAATACTTTAAGAATATCTTTGCGTTATTTAGTTGCTTATAATTAACAGACTTATCCAAGACAACTCAAAGAATATGTATGCAATAAGGTAAAATCAATATATTTGCTAAAATAATAAGGTTAACTAAAAATCAAACGGCAATGCAAGTGCCATGTAAGCAAAAAAATAATAATTAAAACTGCGTACAGATAGTCGGGATACACAGCAGTAAGCTTATTTGGTATGTTTACAGTGTAAATAGCCAACTGCATTTCCAGTTTGAGAACTAAAAGCATTAGGGCAAAATAGTTTAAGAGCAGCTGTGGGATGAGGCTGAGATCACGGGTACCGACACTGAAAGACAGTCTCTCTGCTTTCTGTGGGAATTACTCCTCCATTGAGGGGTGAGGACTGGGAGAGAGAGAGAGGGTGGGCACAGAAAGTCTGGCAGCAGTTGAGAAGTGGAGAGGCGAAAGCTAAGTAGTCCTAGAGAGGAGCCTGAAGAAAGCAGCAGCAGAGTGATGGAGACACCAGCGGGCAGAATTCACCTGGAGGTTTTTTCTGCCTGTGTTACAGGTCTTAAGACCGTACAATTTACGCATCTTTCAGTTACACGGCAACTGCCAGAAATACATCTACCACATAAATCGAAAAAAAGGTCAACCTGAACTGTCATAGTTACTTCCTTTGCTGTGCCAGTACCTGAGAACGAGCTGAAGCATCAGGTCTTCGCAGTTGAAGGACAGCAGCGTCCGGAAGAGACTCAGTGAGACCATGCACAGCTTCCAGGAACAGACAGAGAGACTATCAGTCACAAAATGTACATAATCATAGGGGTCCAGCCGAAAGCACGCTCAACCTCAGCACAGAATGTGGCACATCACCTTTCGCACTGAGGCGAGTAACAAGTAACACAGCAATGATCAGAAAACAATCGGCCTGACATTTTTTTTTTCAATCAGGCAGTGAATTTAAAAAAAAACAGGGCTTCCACTGATGATGTTTGCACAGATGTAAGATGTTACTGTATGGTTTTAATTTATCTGTCACTTTTTATTGTGTGGGAAATCCCATAATTCCAAAACAAAGAATCAAAATGCTTCACCCTCGTAGCCATGAAAGAGGTTACAGCTGAAGGCCCTGCTGAGCGAGACCTTTGCCTTTAGTGACTGAGGTTATAAATTGAACTCTGGAGTCAAGGCTTTTTTGCTACATTCTGTACAGCTATTAATATATCATACAGGCTAAAGCAAACAGCTACCTCTTTCTTCAGTGCTATAACAAAAGTAAAGTTTCAATATTTCCTGTTTAACCTTGGCAAGGCAATGCCTTTATACTACTAGATTCTCTTTCACTATCCTCAGTCGCCCTCCACAAATAAAAAATTCACCTTTCAACGACTTATGTGGATTCGGCTGGAGCTCTCCACTCACCCGTGAGTTGGAGCTGATCCTGGTGAGCAGCGTGTCCAGGATGGTGTCATTGTCATGCCGATGCAGCAGGATGAAGCGCAGGAAGGTCTTGATGAGGGCCGTCTCCGTGATGCTGCGCAGGAAGAGGTCTAGGTAGGCAGTGCTGGCGATCATCTCCTCCACTGAGGACTGTGGCGAGAGGCGAGGATCAGAGCTGGTCCCTATTGCACCCTTACCTCTGCTAACACTGTGCCCCTGGGGCTCATGGTGCCTTGCCTCAGAAAGAGACCAGTTGAGGCTGTGCTTGAGGGCACAGGGCTCAACTGAGCAGAGACACTACTGAGCGACTCCCAAGGAGTCTGTAAAGGGCTGAGCCCGGTTTCATAAGCAGGTGAACACCTGGTAATACGTTCAAACTGGAAAAAGTATTTTTGTGTTTCAAAGCATGCTACTTAAACACAGCACAGCAAGAAACCTTCTATACTAATTTTTCTGCGAGTCTTAAACGTTATAAGCAACGTGTGGACGCAGAGATGTCTGTAAAGGCTCTTCTAAGCTTCTACAGCCTTTTACACTTCCATTAGCCTTTGGAACAGTGGCAAGATCATGTGGACCTTTGAGTGGACATGAACTCATGTATGTGACAAATTCATGTCACTACCATATGTGATAGGATTTGGAAGCATACTCATTTATAAACCGGTATGTGTAGAGTATAAATGAATGGGTACCTTATGAAGCGCAGGCCCCATTACGGGGACTAGGAATCCGTTGTGGACATAATCCACCAGCTGGCTCTTCACCAGAGGATGAGACACCTGCAAAGAGAAGGCAAGCATTGACCATAAAAATAATCAAATAAACGAAATAAACAAATAAAGAAATCATAGCAATGATTGAAAAAACTAGCCTTATTTCATGAGCAAATACGCCTGAAAGTACAGGTGTTTAACATCATAAATAAGGCCTTATACTCATCACACGTATCACCCACTAGGGGTAGTATCTGATTTTTCATCTGCCAAAGCCTACAGCAGATGTGCCCCTCCCTCCTCCTTCACCTGTATGACAGCATTGCAGAACTCCAGGGAGTTCATGAACAGAACGAGAGACGAGACTCCGATCCAGTCTTCCCTCCTCAGCGCGTGCCAGTCATCTCCGCGCACTTCGATCTTGCGGGGCAGGGAAGAGTACAGGGCACTCAGGCCAGTAGCCAGCACCTATTGGAGGGATCAGAGACATGCATTAGAAACCCAGGTGGGTTTCCTCTGGGATAAACATCTCTTTAGTTCAGCTGCCAAACCACAGCTCTGTGCAAAGATGAATGGGAGACAGCATGTTGCAGTGACGTGAATTCAAGTTCCCCAACAAGTAAGAATTGGGCATACAATAAAAATATAGGCGGTCTGGATTGGGAAACGACCACAAGATAAAACAAGTTCAAGTTCATCTTGGTTGCAATGAGATACAAAATAGTAATTTCTTTCATGTTACTGTTCAGTCTGGCATAAACACAGACTGCCTGTCTCCTTGAACAGTAGTTGTTAAATGTTTGCAGAGACACCTTTTCAATTTTTTTAACAAGTACACAGAGCAGAGATTACAGTCAAACAAAAATGCACAAATAAAAAAAAAACAGAAATCATTCAGTTAAAAAAACAACTAATAGTGTTTTTCATCTCAGTTGAGTCATCTGGAAGTGTTTTATGTGTGATGAAGTGTCAGGACTATAATAACTTTCTTACAAGTTAACAGGTTTGACATATTCACATACTCACAATTGTATACACAGCATTTAACTTAAAAAGATAAGGGAACATTATATCAATGTATTGTAAATCTGAAAATCAAACTAAAAAACAGACATAGTGGTTAAATGAAAGAATTAAATCAGAGGTTAATGTCTGAAAATTAAAAAGAAAAAAATATTTTGCCTGTGGAATTTCTTCAGGAATGGGAAGACTCTTGAGTGTCTTTCCTCAGTCTTTTGTTTTTACTTTCCAGCACATACTGTAATTAACCTCTACTCGATCTTTTGCAGATGCTGCCCAGCTCCTTACCAAAACCGCTCAGAAAATATACATTGCATGTATGTATTAATATATCATGACATTATTTTGCAATGACAGTGTACACTGATCTTACATGATGTCCTCTTAGGGGACATCAATTTAATCAATACATTCAACGATGAATCTTTGAACATGAGGCACTAAAGAAGAGTTTTTGTGTGAATTATATTGCAAGAGATCAGTGTTCATCTTAAACTCCGTTGTGAATGGATTTCAAAAAGATCAGATGCCAGGGATGACACATAGTTCGAAGGCCTAAGCTTTCTCTCCGGCTCTAGACTAAGAAAGGAATCACACCCAGCAAAACAGACATTTTGAAAAAGTGACAACAAAAACACTCACTGAGGGCAGCAAGACGACGAGTCTTGTTAATGAACAACCTGAGAAGTCAAAGATGATGTAACTTGGAACAAAATATTAATGGTTTAAAATAAGATTACAAACACTTTTCAGAAATCAGTTAGGCTGGTCAAAACTAATGATTGATGTATACAGTACTTCACCTAAAATTATTGTTTCAAAAAAGTTTTAAAGTAAAAAAAGATTTTTTTTCGGCTGATCCCTTTACGTCAAGCAACGTAGAGTTGTACTCATTTACACTACAGCAACCTGAACAAAGGGTACAATTTGCTCAAGGATACAACAGCAGTCTGTCATCTGAGATTCGAACCCTCAACCATCCAGTTACAAATTCAGAACCATGACCAGTCCTCAACACTTCCTGCTTATCACACCGATAGAAAAACGAAGGAAATGTGAAATTTCACAGGTTTAACAGCCATTCAAAGACATTAGAAAAACACAATATAAAGAACCGAAATACCGAAGAAATGTTCTAGATGGCGCCTCTACATCACTCATGTAAGTAGGTCAGACACCAGCTCATAAATACTTTAATGAGGAATGGGACTGCTCCCCAGACAGAGGAGTCTGCAAGAAACAAAACCAATGCACAGCAGAAATCCAAGACATTCACAGACAACACCACACCAATACTGTGCACGCCTCAATATGAAAAGTATGTTAGTGCTCCAAGATGCTTTTCTGAAACGCTTAAACAGTCTTTAATATACCAGCCAGCTTCAGTAATGTACCAGAAATATTTTCAGGGTGGTGAAGCTTTAAGAGCACATTGTACATGACCACAAGCGCCTTTCATTCCTCAGTGGGGGGGTGTCTCTACAGTACGAGCACTCTAATGAAAAATATGGGCCGCATAGCACTGCCTCATTGATTAATGCAGTGTAAGCTAAACCAGTAAAGACATACCACCTCCCACCCTGACTGTGTTAAGAGCCTTGCTACAATGAACTTGGCATGCCAGCCCTGTCGCTTGGCAGTGCTCTTAAAGGCTGCTTTGGACAGGACAGGGCACGTTTCACAGGTAGTGTGTGCTGTTGTTAACCCAGCAGGAAGCAACACGCCTAATCGAGCAAGCAGCATTCCTCTGGTGGGCCTGTTGGAAAGGCTCCAAAGCCCCCATCAGCATGGCCAGAAGGGTCAGTTCCACTTCGCACATGTCTGAAGTGGGGCGGCACAGATGCACGTCATCAAGCTCTGTCCACATCCCACTGTCCAGGGTGACAACAGCTGTCCACCCAGGGATTAACATTCCCAGTCTTTTGCAACTGTTGTGCAATTGCGCATGCCGACAGCAGATGTTTGAAGAGTGACGCAGCATTCCTTCATTTCGGAGTTCCAGCATCACGTAACCACGTTCCTCAATGAAAAAAATGGAGAATTTCTTGATCAGCAAACACAGTGTGGCCAAGACCACCTAGTTACAGGACACGCAGACCCCCACAGCACAACAATGGCGCTGCTGTGAGCCATGTGCTACTTTATATTCCGACTAACAGGTGCAACTTAATATTGTGAACGCTCTGCGGGGATGAGATGAATGGCAGGTGCAGGAGAAGCAAGCTGACTGGGATAAGTGAAGCAGGTGGGGTCTAGAAAAAACACCCAGAACAAGCCTGTGATTCAGCACCACTCAGCCCACACAGACAAAACAAGTGACTCGAAACTCCAGGCAATTACTCGTTTGCAGTCAGCTGTCTGTTCTCTAACTTCCTGAGCTGTCCATATGCAAGATGACATACAGTATGCAAAGATAAAAGCACTGAGATTCAAATTCATATACATACTGTGTATATGTAGAGCATCAGATTGACACAGCAGCACACAGGGTTGCAATGGGAAGCTTCTTGGTTTCTTATAGCTATATCACTTTTTGACATGCATCTGAGTAGTGTAGAAATGACTGTAACAAAATATAAAGGTTCTCTTTTACATAACTAGCATTTCAACAATGAGTTTTCAACCTGGGACGTGACAATTGTAAAGGAGAAAAACATGGGCGATCTGCCTTCCCTCCCTGTGATAGGGCTTGCAATGGGAGATCTGCCTTCCCTTCCTGTGATAGGGCTGGCAAAGGGAGACCTGCCCTCCCTGTGATCCAGGGAGATCCAGCTGCAGAGGGTTAATGCTGATGAATGGAAAACAATCAAGACTCAAATAAGTGACCTTTACTCTGTAGTTTCTAAACACCTAAATGATTCCTGGATTTACTGCTATAAACTCTGCTGTAAATCACACTATTTCGCTGCTGCATATTTATTGCTCAATTGTACCTGCTTTCATGTTGGAAAGCATGAAAGAGGAGAGGTTGTTTAGCCCTTACATTGAAGTTTGATGTTCCTGAAACTCCTGTAAAATGTGACAAAGTAAACAATCACTTACTTCTAACCTGTGCGGGATAACAACCTAAAAAACCAGTTGGTTATAAAACACACAATAGCATTTCCATTTGAGTAGTCACCAGTTGTTGACCATTATGCATGATTCAATGAGCTTCCAAATACATTAGTAATTTTGTTCTGTCTTACACAGAAGGCAGCGAGCATGGTTTCACCAGCTCACACAAGAAGTGACTGAATTCTTCAGCTAGTTTCATGATGCTGTCTTTCAGCACTGGCCGAAACTGACCCGACCTTTTCACTTACACAGCCAAAAATACAGTAAGTATGGCGTTAGGCAGAAAAATTGTTATTTCCATGCAACATATTCTTGGTGGTTATTTAAGATAGGCTGATGTGCAAAATCAATGTCAAGTCATTGGAAAATGGGAAAAGAAACAGATCCCCTAGTTACAGTGCTACTAGATTGCAGGATTATCTGCCATCTTTTAATATGCTAGATTTCTACAATACATCTACAAAATTCTCTTTAAACTCAGTATCGTTTTGCTACACTGCTTTATTTTTGTATGTTAAAATAGCTTAACTCTTTTATGACATCAGCTGATCGCTGTCTGAATGTCTTGAAATAGTTTTTTGTTCTCCTGCTTTTTGTATAGTTTTGTACACCTTGTGTACAAGCCTTTAACCTGGTTACATGTTTACTGAAACATGAAGACTGACCATAAAGTTCACAACTGTTTCGGGAAGAAAGGGTGAAAGAAAACGCCTGCTGTTTAAAGTTCAGCTGCGGACTTCCATTTTCTCTGAGTGTAATGCCTAAAGTTGTGAACCTGTAATTAGGAAGAACAACAGAGAACTCATCAGAGCCCATTGTACAACTGAAGTCACTAGTTTCACTTCAACTTCCTACAGAAGTGGCAAAGACAGAAAAGCTTTCATATCTAAAGAGCAAGATACCAAAATCCACTTCTGATGTTTTTTGATAAACACTACAGTTAAAATGAAATCTACTGAGCCAAAGACCAGATGCGGTATGAACCCCATTTTCTCTGTCTGCTAGACATTCCCAGTAAGAGGGATGGCCTACAAAGAATGTGTAAGAAAGTGACAGAGCCTAAATGATTGGCTCTTTTCTTTGGTGATAACAAAACCATTAGCAATGACCAATATTGCATCATACTTCACTTCTCTAAAACTGGAAAAGCTTCTGTGTTCTCTCTCCCTCTCTGTTTGCAATTAAGTGAACATGATGCTTTTGCTTTCTGCTTCTTTTACCAAAACAGCAGATGTGTAACAGAACCGATCGACAGCCCTGCGTTCTCTGGTGATTAAATGACCATCTCACAGAAATGCTCACCAGCGTTAGTGGCAAAAGCCCAAACCCCTCGTGATCTGTAAACCCACGTATCAGACACAGCTCGTGCTCAGTGCTGACGTTCAACCAGCAGCGCTCACCGGACAGAAGTAGGAGTTCTCCACGATGTACTTCGCCACAGCCTGGTTGCCGGCGGAGGTGGCCATGACCAGGAGCAGCGCATCGCGGGCCTGCTGCCCAATGGCGCCGTCGCGGTGGATGAAGGGGACGAGCAGCGAGAAGATGAGCAGGTTGGTGGGGCCCTGCTGGGGCGCGGTGTGGAAGAGGAGCTCCAGCACGGAGGGCTCGCGGGCCATGCACGCGCACACCTGGTTCAGCAGCAGCACCAGGCTGCCCTCCACGGCTGGGGAGCCGAGCTGGGGGTCGGCGCAGGCGCTCAGGAGGGACAGGAGGGGCTGCAGCACCGGCTTGTGGCGCAGCAGGGGCTGCTGGGACTGCCCGATCAGCATCTCGAAAAGCTTGAGCAGCGCCCCCTGGCTGTCGGAGTCCAAGCCGCGCCGCAGGTGCCACTGCACCAGCCGCTCCAGGATGTTCTCGGACACCACCAGCTCCAGGATGGGCCCCATGCCCCCTTGCTCGCTCGGACGCTCCTCCGCCAGCAGGCACAGCATCTGGTCTGTGTTGTTCCGCACAGCAGTCAGCTCGTCTGCCGCACCTGTTATAGAGGCCTCTCGCTGCTCCAAGATCCAGGACACCTGGCAGGAAACGGAATGCACGCAATAACTCAGGGCAAAAGCACCACTGACTACAGGTCTGGAGCACGTCAACAACAATACCTATCCTATCCTAATACAATACCTATCATATCCTAATACAGGGAACATAGCATACAGGCCCTGTGGCCCATCTAGCCTTTATGGTTACTAGTATTTAAACAGTCTAGGATCCCACCAAAAAAAAGAACACAGGATATCAGTTTCAATGACATGGCAAGGTTGCTTGTTCCAGACTCCCACAACCCTTTATGTAGAAAACAGCTTCCTGTTAACAGTTTTAAATGGGCTTCCCTGCTTTTTCTAGTTCTGTCCTCTGGTTCGTATTTCACTGCTAATTCTAATGAATTCAGTTCAGCTTGTCATTGTAGACTAAACCTTTTCAGCTCTTTTATGTAAATAATATTCTTAAATGAGGTGTTACTAGCACACTGTACATTTTAACATAATAGCTCGTTTTAAATTCTACACTCTTGACTATATAACCATTATACATCCTATTTAACATTATTTCCCTTTTATTGCCTCACCAATTAGTCTAAAAGATATAAATAATGTGTTTACATAAACACTGACGTCTTTTCCATATGTGGCATTTTTAAGCTCATTTTTTCTAAATGTATATTTGTAGTTTGTTTTTGCTACTTGTGTGCAACACCCGACACCTTTCTTCATTAAAAGTCATTTGCCAGACGTTTGTCCAGTCCTAGAATTTTGTCCAAAATCTTTCTGAAGATTTACTAGTCCACCTAAAGAACTGTTGGTGTCTAGTTTAGTAAGCAGAGACAAACTGCTGGAATGTTACAGAATTACAGACACTCTAGAAGTCTGCTCATCTGTGAACAAAGAAGAAGTGACATCTGGATGCTTTTCTTCCTGAACTGGGTGCTGAAAGTAATCACACATATTCTTAATTATCTGCACAAACGTCTTCTCAATTACTTTACAAATGCATAACAAACTGGCAGTTAATGTATCTCCATAAAAACAACAGAAGTCTTAGTTGTGCAGCATCTTAAAAACTGTATAAAAATCTTCTTCAATATTTTCAGAAAGAAATGATTCATCCATTCATTTTCAAAAAGTTGGTCACGTAAGGCAAGGGGTTGTGGACAACTCAAGTCCGTCCCAAGAGCACAGGACATAAGGCGGAACAGGGCCATGTTATGGTCAATTCAGACACAACAATTAATCCAGCCGTCATGTCTCCAGCCTCTGAAGGGCACTCCGTCCTCATCTGGAATTGAATCTAGGACCGAAGAACAAGTAGGCAGCAGTCCTATCTGCCACACATGTTGCATCTCCACATGATTCATTATATATCAGGCATTTTGCATTTCAGACTGGTTGCCTTGTTCAGAGAAAGTCACAAAAGTATCAGGGAACCTTTGGTTCATCTAAGGAGTTCTTTTACTTCTGACTCACCTGCCGCCAGTGGTTCTGAAACACCATGAGACAGGTCTCTGGGTCAGCTGTGACAGGGCTCGATGGCACTGGATTCCGACTGGCCCGATTCCCGGGTCCTCGTGGGTTTAAGCGGCTCAGCCAGCTCATCCTGTCTACCAAGGTCAGAGTTCAGGGGTCAGGGGTAAGGCACATGGAATGGGGTGGTGGGTGGGGGTGGTGAAAGGTCACAGCCAAGGGTGAGTAGGGGGGGGAACCGGGGGATAGGAGGGAGGAAGGGAGGGAAAGAAGGGGAGGGGAAGGGGAAACTCAGTAGAACCCAAGAGGCAGTCTTTATTCCCACGTGAAGCAAACTTCTTCACCCCGCACAACAGAGCCTCTTCTCCTCAGTTAGGGATCCCCTGCGCTGACCTAACAAGTCTCCCTGTTGACACTGTCATCCAGTCTGCAGCCAAGGCAGCTCCATGTAAGACCACAAGCCTGCAAAACACAGCAAACAACTCCAGTTAACAACCCAGGGGCTTGCGTCATGTTTTCATTCATTTTTTTAAACCTTGCTAACAGCATGGAGCACTGTGAGGGCCTGTTTAAACTTACTTCATGTGTAGTGACACATTCATTTATTAAAAAAAAAAACATCTGTAAGAGTGCCTTGGTACAACCAAAATGAAAACTAGGGTGCGGTTTATATTTGCTCATTTTTCCTTGTTCTAGTCACTCTGCGAGATGTTTTTCAATCACAAAAAATGTCTATGAACAAAAGAATTAGTAGGGCAAACATTAGACACAAAAAAAGCCAAAGACAGTACTATTAAGAAACGAAAGACATTTGCACCTCAACGCCTTTTTTAAGTAAACAGATGAACAACTCTTAAGTTGTTTCTACCTTGTTGGAAACAGCAGAATCTGGCAATCTAAAAGACATTCTTTCCTTAGAAATGTACGAGAGGTCTCTGGTGATTAAAAACCACACTGGAACTGTTCCCTTCTAAGGTTAGAGAACAACTGTGATTGCTTCAGTAACTTGTGAAACATACTGGCCTAAAGCCAACAAGAATGAAGTGACGTTCACAGTATTATGAGTAACTCTTCCTCTAGCTCTCTATCCATTGCGACTGCAGGCATGTGTTGAGGAAGGACAAATGGAACATGTACAGTAACATTTAAGAGCCTTAAAACTTAAACCGTTCAGAATACTGCCAGCTAAATTACCCCCTGTTGAAAACTGAAACAGCAACCCTCTACTTTGTTACCTAACCACACACAGTTCTAGTTCAAAATCCTACTGTTTTTGTTTTCCACTGTTTCCAAATAAAACTGAAGCAATACAGCCTCTTCGCTTTCAAAATGGGGCTGATGCTGAGAGCCAAGCGCTAAGGCCACTCTCACTTAGCTGATACGTTCTGCACCAAAGCCCGAGGGACAAACCGGTTTCAGATCCATGCTGCCAAACAGACATGCCCACCTCGGGAGAGAAGACAGGTGACTCACAGCTCAGCAGACCGAGGACTACCGCAATGAGAGCAATCAGATGGAAAAAAGTCCCAATACATCCCAAAGCAGACAGTGATCTTCTGTGTGAGAGAGATGCCCAGTGACTAAAGCGTCTCCTATCAAGACAGTGTCTCTGGCTGTTAGCTTCATCTTTCGGACCTGCGTGGCTGATAATAAGCCAAAATATTCAATTTCTAACAATGCTCCTTTCTCTAAACAGAGCTGAATATGCAGAATTCAATGTAGCCTGTTATATAATTACTTTGTAGCTCTAACAAACAGCAATTAAAGTTTTTTCTGCCCTGATTAAACCAGTCATTACAATAACACATAGTAATGACTAGGAAATATTTTTGCTACATAATACACAGAAAGTGAAGTGTATGCTTCTAGTCTAGGCTTATGAATTTCTGAAACGAAATCACCTGTTTTTTCAGAAAATCATTCTGTCATTAAAAGTGTCCCATGCTATATTTATTGGTCCAATAAATGAAAAAAACAAGCATCCAACTTTAACAGCTCAGGTCTCCTAGATAGACAACTAATCTTCTGTTACTCAACACCAAAAATGACAATGTGCATTTTTCATTCAGAAAAAAGAAGTATTACTTATATCTTTGAAAGGAAAGAACAAGAGGGAACAACGTCATGCTTAAAACATTATTTTTCTCTAGAAAATGTTTTTCCCTCTAGAAAAAGAATGCTGTTTGAGGACACCATCAAGGAACTGGATGCTGGTTGACAGGCAGACTACTGAGTTTGTACTGTTTGTGACATTAAGGCCTATTTGGAAAAATCAAACTTCTAATATTATATTAAGTCTTTGGGCCTCCTTTTTTAACAATAAAAAATGGCATAAAATGGGCCTCTTTTTTGCAGTTAATTCCTATGTCAGTAAACAGTGTCTCAGTTAAACTTCATTTTCAAGTGTACTAGACGTCATTACAATCTGAGAACTAAAAACAGCTACAGGCTGATCTGAGAAGTACCATTCCTTTACAGTGTGATCCAGCGAAGGTACTGTAGTCTTCATTCATTCAGCACTCACAATATAAAAGGATGTTGATGTTCCTGGTTTC